GGGGGGGGGGGGGGTTAATTACCACGAAGCCTAGCTCATCCTCTTAGACTCTAGTGTCGACGTATGTTGTCCTCCTGCATCGCTTCACATCTCCGAAGCATGACCCCCATTTTATACTAATATCAGTATTTTGGGCATCTGAATCAATAGAAATAATTATTCATGGATTTTGTAGATGGAAATTTTGAGTGTAAATTTTAAACATTTATTAGACGTCACCAGGAGCAGTTGTGAGAAATACAACTATAGGCAGGACATGTACCTGCGTGTTTGTTAGGTCTAATAAATGTATAAAACTTGCACTTGAAATGTCCATCTATAAAACCTTTCAACATTTTACTAACGCCAGTTTTCCATGTTCCAGTACTCCTAGTTGGCAAAAAGTCAACTCTCATTATGTTTCACAACTCACAAGGGTTTGATATTCTTTGAAATTTATTCGCTAGAGGTAGAAAGGTATTTGAACCGCCAAGATATATGACCGTAAGACAAGCTGCTGATCAACTACTGGAAATTCTGAGAAACCGCGAGTTCAGGAAACAATCATGTAAGCAATGATTATGTATAACAGAGTAATATACTCATAGAGCCAAGTAGTGATGGGCGATACCAGGATTTTTAATTCGATACCGATACCGATACTTTTAAGATCGGTATCGGCCGATACCGATACCTATTTCGATACCAACATGAACACAAAATTTCAATTTTCGATACCGGAAGTGAGTACTTAAATTGCTAGTATCGGCTACTTTCGATACTGACCTGCCGAAAACATTTTTCATTACTGTATGTAACCTAAATAAAGCTATAAGTAAAACCAAAAGTCCGAAACGTAATAAATATTTTCTATACATGACTTGGCGCACCACATTTGGAATATTAAGAGTTATTTTAATGGTTCATTAAGTCTTATTCAACCAAGAAGTGAAATTAAACAAGTCGTTTAAAAAAGGGTGCAAGTATCGAACGATACCACGTTAGTAATCGATACCGATACCGCTGTTTGTGGTATCGCTGGTATCGAATACCGAGTACTCGGTATCGCCCATCACTACGTGGTACGATCTGCGCGGTCTGCCAGGCGTGTGCCAAAGTTTTGTGACTCCAGATATAAGGAGAGCTTACTGGACCAGACGAATTCGAAACCGTAAGCGAATTCGTCGGATTCAGACGAATTCGAAGTTGGTTTTGTGAAAAGTGGATAATTACGCTATAAGAGGATGTGCATACACGAGGTAATATATGACCAACTATTATTTCCAGTATCCTACAATGATCATAACTTTGATTTATTTGACGGTTCAAGGATCACCATAGGTCTTACTCGAGGGAACAGAGGTAAACCACTTTTTAAGCTAGTCATGCACATCCACAATTTTCGTCATTGGCTAAGAACAAAAGATGAAATGGGTTACTGCATCCCATAAATTCACGAACGAAAATCAAAAATTGAGCGTTACAATTCTTTTTTGGCCTATCTATATGCGTTAGGGGTAAATTTTATAATTATGCTTCTTACCGGGAGTTTTGTTACGTTAGCTTCATTCAATAAATTATCAATTTTTTCATCCTGGTCTGGTGTACTTTCCAAGACCTCGGCTTGCAGTGTTTTTTTTTCGTTTTCAGTTGTTTCTACAATCATGGCATGTTTTAAACTTTGAACATACTACAGCTTGCAGTGTGGATGACTTTTTGGGGATGGACATTTCGAGCGAAAATTCAAATGCAACTTTAGACATGACCGGGAGCAGCTGTGAAAATACAACTACAGGCCTTTGAACTGTATGCACAGTCCAGGTTAGCATTAACCACAAGTTCTTGCATGTTAAGCACAAGCTCTTTACAGTATGTATATGGCACTATGATGGAGATTTTTAGAAATCCCGTACGTTAACTTGGCGTTTAGGTTGATTGTGTTTTTGCGAAATTTGTCACGGAGCTGTTCATGAAACAGTGGTTGGTAAAATAATGTGCCTTTCACTTTTGTGACAGCGGAGTTTGATTCCCATCTCAGTTTAACCACATATACACGAAAAGATTCCATTCAGTTTGACTAACCAAATACCAAACCTTAATCCCTGTTTATATCGCGAACCCTGGCATGAGCCAAACCCAGGCCTTGGCCGACGATCGCGAAATGGACACAGATTTTCTGGCCTATAGGTGAAGTGAAGGCTAGGGCAAAATTTGTTTACACTACCAAAATCTAGTTGAGCATGACCAACATGATCGCAAGTTTGGCCACTGATGCATACTAAGTATAGGTGTGCTAATCATCCTCACTTGCAGCTGAGAGCTCAAGCTTTACGCTGAAAGACGTAGCTCAACCCAATCAATTGAAAGGCTTACTCTGCAAGCCAGCTTATGACTCGTGTCTGAATAGTCTGATCACGGAGCACAGCTATGCTAGATGGCCCATATGGGTCAGTTAGGGCTAATCCTAACCTGCGGTCAGCATCGCAGCGGGCGAAGAAAAATGAAGGTCTGATAAAAATGTTATTAAAAGTTGGTGTGGCTACAACCAAATGCGTCACTAATGGGGCTTGCCAAGGTCAGAGAACAAGGTGAAGAGATACTGTCGCGAGCTATTGTTCGAAACTTTCAAAACAACCAAGTCGTGCCAGCAGAGGGATAAAATGTACTCGTATATTAAACACAACCAAATTCGAATTCATCCTACTTACGAGCTGTCGAGTTATAGCCCAGGTTTCGTATATAAACAACCGCAAGACGATAGTAAATTTAAGAATTTTGAATATAAGTTATAACATTGCTTCAATGTAAACTAAAAGGATACAGATGATTAGTGGGCCTTTATCACACCGGGAGTCACCTCATACCATCTTTGCAGGGTTTCTACAGGGTTTTTTTTTTGTTTTGGCAGTGCTGGTTTGTGCGATTCATCTCCGTCAGTCTTGTCTCATAAGTAAATACTTGCATTAGCATAAATTTCAAGTTCTATAAACTTTGAAAAATTGTATTATCGTCATGCTGAGCATGACCAGCATGACCCCAAGCCTGGCCACTGATGCATACGCAATTTTATTTATTCTGGCAAGAACGATCGTGCAGCAGAGTTTGTGATTTCCAACAGGTAAGAGATATTTATTTTACTGTTTCCAATGACTTCCAGCGCTATCGCTACCGAATTAATGTCCCTGATGTAATGACGACCCACCGTCCATGGTCCGCGTTCAAACCAGACCATCCAACGTTGTTCGGTTGTTGGTATATTGTTAGATGGCCAACATGTTGAACTGGTTTTGAACGTCTGGTAGATCTCTCGCTTTCAAATCAATCAAGTCGTTCAGCAGAACTTTCAAATATATAAATCTAAACTAAATTTACTTCAATTAATTCTTAGGGTTTATATACTTGCTATGGCCATCTAGCAAAAACAATTTAAACAACACCTCATGATTTAATTCAGCGTTGCCATTTCACTGTGGACATTCATGGCCAATTGGCGTAATTCATGCATGTTATGGGAGCTAAAAATATTGAATTATCACACCCTTACGCTTAACCTTAGCTTAAAGCATAGTTTATGTGACTGTGCTTAATTTGAAGCCTCTGCATGCATACATTGCGCAATTTTTTTTTCTCGCAGCGTGCGAAGAAAAATAAAGACCTGCATGATACAAATATTATTAAACGGTTCGTGTGGCTACAACCCATAGGAATGCTATAACCGAATGCGTCACTAACGGGCCGACCCACTTGCCAAGGTCAAAGAACAATTAGGCGAAGAGATGCCCTCGCGAGCTATTGTTGAAAACTTTCAAAACAACCAAGTTGTTACAGCAGAGGGATAAAATTTACTCATATATATACTGTATAATAAACCCAACCAAATTCATCCTACTTACGAGCTTTCTCGGCTCTCATATAAACAACCACAAGATAGTAAATTTAAGAATTTTCAATATAAGTTATAACATTGCTTCAATGTAAACTAAAAGGATACGATGATTAGTGGGCCTTTATCACACCGGGGGTCGCCTAGCTCATACCATCTTTGCAGGGTTCCTACAGGGGTTTTTGGGGGGTTTTGTCAGTGCTTCATGGTTTGTGCGATTCATCTCAGTCTTGTCTCATAAATAAATAGTTGCATTAGGATTTAAGTTAGCTGGTCGTCATAAATTTCAAGTTCTATAAACTTTGAAAAATTGTATTATCGTCATGCTGAGCATGACCAGCATGACCCCTAGCCTGGCCACTGATGCATACGCAATTTTATTTATTCTAGCAAGAACGATCGTGCAGCAGAGTTTGTGATTCCCAACAGGTAAGAGATATTTATTTTACTGCTTCCGATGACTTCCAGCGCTATCCAACATGTTGCCATATAATATATAATACCAACAATGCGTTGGACGGTCTGGTTTGAACGGATTGTGGGTCGTCATTACATCAGGGACATCGACATACAGATTGAAAACGAGAGATCTACCAATGGTTCAAAACCATGTTGGCCATATAACAATACCAACCATGCCGGACGGTCTAGTTTGAACGGACCGTGTGTGCATGGTCATTACATCAAGGGACATTAATGTAGCGATGGTTTGATCCACTGATAGATCTCTCGTTTTCAACCTATCAAGTCCTTCAACAGAACTTTAAAATATAAACTTAATATAAACTTAATTAAATTCTTAGTTTTTTTCTACCTGCTTTGACCATTTATAGGAAAAACAATTTAAAAAACACCTAGTTTAATTCGGCGTTGCCATTTCACTGAGCGGATTCTGGACTGAACAAACCACGTACACGGTAATTATAAAGCACGGCATCTTTATTGTGTAAAGGTTGTAAACGTAAAACTAGTCAACTAGAATAAAGTAAATTAGAATTCCACTAGTTTGTATACCGCCTATAGATTTGCGTGCGAAATGGGGATAAGTATTGGGAAAGACAACTGTGCAAGTTATGCAAAACAAAAAGATGCAACGAAGCCTAACTTTCGACATCAATCACAAGTATTAACATAACGTTTCATACCAGGTTTTCGTCATATTAGTTTCGAAAAATGACCGACTATTTCATCATTTTTATAGTAGAAATGAAATCGATGAATTTGCGCTTATAAGACGAGACCTCAGCAGCCGGGAAGATCAATTATAATTCGCGGATTTAGTACCGAAGGTACGCCAACATTACGGTCTAGATACATCTTTGCTTTCAGCCAGTTCCTGCATGGCTTTACCCAGACACAGTTAGTTTCCTATACGCTTTGCGGAGGGTTCCCTATACAAGTTTATTCATGCAGGTTTTGTTGTCACAGTGTTAGTTATAGCGTCTTTCATCTCTGTGACCAGGTTTAATTACTGCAACCGATTCCTGTAGTAGTCGCATAAAAATTTCGCTTCAGTACTATGCAGTAGCATATAAGGTAGTAGCTCTGACCATCATTAGCTTTACATGAAAAAATTCAAATTGTAATACCGTCACGAGTACGATCATGCAGCATGATCCCAAGCCTAGTCACAGATGCATATACACATTTTATTTATTTTAGCAAACTTAGCAAGAACAGTCGTGGAGTAAAGTCTGTGATTCTCTCTTCAAACACTCCCCATAATTAACATGCTATCATCCACAAATGATTCCCAGCGCTATCGCCATGGCTCATTTGCCCCAGTTCGTGAAAGGTGTAAAGCTGTGTGGTATGTGGACGGCAAAGACTACATGTCTGCTGTGGCCGACGCTATCATGGCAGCCGAGACAGAAATCATGATTACTGACTGGCAAATGAATCCTGAAATCTTCATGAAAAGACCTGATTCTGGAGTTAATAGTTTAGAATGGCAACTGGACAACATGCTGTTAAAAAAGGCTGACGAGGGTGTTAAAGTGAAAATATTATTATACAACGAAATGAAATTAGCCTTAGATCTTGGAAGTGACCACGTTGTGAAACTGCTTGGAAAGCATAAAAATATAGAGGTTCACTGCCATCCTGATCTTGTTACCGCAGCATGGAATTTGTTTCGGTGGAGTCATCATGAAAAGATGGTCATTGTTGATCATAGTATTGCATTTGTCGGAGGCATTGATCTCTGTTACGGTCGCTGGGATACTCGCAACCATGAATTGATGGATAATTATCCTGTTCATCCTGCTGTAGATGGACGCGAAGCATCAGATGATAAACCACACGAATATGCTCGGTGGATCGGCAAGGATTACAGAAATACGTTTTACAACAAGGAAAAGCAAACGGACTGGGAGAAACCACTGGAGGGTTACGAGGGAGTTGAAAGAAATACGATTCCTCGCATGCCTTGGCACGATGTAGGCTGTGCAATAATTGGAGAAGCTGTACAAGATGCTGTGCAACATTTCACAGATAGACACAACCCATACAATGCAACCCATACGAAACCTTGGTGGCAAAGATTTTTGGATTTCGTTCGTCAATACGTTCAGAGCACTGACCAAATAAAGCAATCTACCAAAAGCAAGAATACCAAAGCAGAAGAAATCGTGTCAAATTCCGGTGGCTATAACGTGAAAATTCAACTCCTGAGATCTGTGGACAACTGGTCAGCTGGTCAGAAACATCAATATATAACACTTATATAGTTGCGATAAAGAATGCTCAACACTTCATTTATATAGAAAATCAGTTCTTCATTTCATCGCAAAAAGGTTTACCACGAAAAGTTCAAAATGATATCCAAGCAGCATTGGTTGAAAGAATTGTCCTTGCCCACAAAGCCAAGAAAGATTTCCATGTTATGGTCGTGATCCCTCTGAAACCCGAGTTCCCTGGTGATTGGGACGCCGATGATTGGACCGGAGAAACTCTACGAACAGTGACATTTTGGAATCAAGCCACTATCTACCATGGAGAAGACTCGTTATTTAGTAAGCTTGAGAGAGAAAATATACCGAAAGAAACTGCGATGAAGTACTTCTCTGTGTATAGCTTACGTACATATGACTTGATTGGAAAACATTTTGTTACTGAGATCGTGTATGTGCACAGTAAGATCATGATCGTTGATGATCGTAAGGCAATTATTGGATCTGCAAATATCAATGATCGCAGTATGCTGGGAGACCGAGATTCCGAAGTTGCAGTTATGATAGAAGATTTAGATTTCGTTGATGGTAACATGAACGGTATAGGATACAAGATGGGAAAGTTTGCTCATAGTTTGAGATGTGATCTACTTAAAGAGCATTTAGGATTGGTCGGTAAGAGCGAGGATGAATTTGACATAAGAATCAACGATCCACTGGCCGAAAGTTTTATTAAAGGTGTACATGATCGGGCAGAAACAAATACTCGTATGTTTCTAGAAGCATTTGGTCAAGGTTTACTTCCAAGAGAGGATGTGGAAGATTTTGAAGCGTTTCAACGTTATAAAGATATTCCTTTGCCTCGTGAAAATACACCACAGGCTGAAAAGATTCTGAAGCAGATAAAAGGAACTCTAGTGAACCATCCTGGAACATTTCTGATGGAAGAACTTGAACCTTCCAGATTACTATGTACTTCCCAAGTTGCTTATCGTAAATTATTTGTCCACGATAGCTACAATGAATGGAACGATTAGTTTGAAATCTAGCTGTTAGCCAATTGACATGACAAATGCATGAACTGCGAACAGGACAGGGATGCGCAAACACATGAGTAGCCTACTATATATTAAAGTAAAACTATTCAAAATGCCAAATAAAATAATGTAGAATAATTAGTTAGAAGTTAAACTGAACCTAGTACTTAGTAACTTAATTGTATATGCTGGCATGCTGATAAATATTACTGTCTTCAAAACACCAATGAAGTATATTTTTTATATTGCAAAGGTAGCTTTTCATCTGTATCTCCGGATTATCTTCAAAGTAATAGATTACTGCACTAACCCATAGAAATAATAGACATAGAATGCGTGCTCCTATCTCGCTTCAGTCAAAACTTTGTCTCCACATGATTCGTCATCAGCGCGCATTCCATGTCTATATATTATTTCTATGTACTAACCCTGTCCCTGACCCGGCATGTGGCCCGTTTAAACCAATCCAGCATCATCCGGCTGATATCTAACTGAGATCAGTCTGCTATCGCAGACTATCTTGATCCAAGTATGTTGCATTCAACATTTAACAATGTTTATTTATTTATTTGATTCCCCTTGTACACATTACCATAGTGGCAGGGAATCCGCAACAGCGTAATTACTGCAGGCCCATATGTTCAATGATGTTGAACCAACATGATTGAAATGGCCTTTTAATATATGCATCGAAAGCTTCAGACTACGACGAGACCAGACCAGACCAGTGAGCTCCATTAATAACTGGAGCGAGAACTCGAGTCCGAAGATATGATGGAGTTATTGCATGTCAGTTTCAGTCCCTTTCTATTGTTTTTGTCTACGCGGTTTACAAAGCGTGTGCCAAAGTTTCGTATTCTGATCCAGATATATATATAGTATATAGAGCTCACTAGACCAGACGAATTCGAAACCATAAGCGAATTCGTCCGGTTCCGATTGTTCATTCCGCGGTTCAGATGATTATCTGTGTTCGAATTCGTCCGGCTTTGTGCATCCCGTGTAAACACAATAGATAAAATCACGCAAATTTGAGTCCGGCCCTAAAATTATAGAGACTGTATGAACGTACACTTGAACATTGTGCTTTCCGCAAGACAACAAACAATTTACTGAACCTAACTCTGAGAGGCTCTTTTCCACTCATCGCAAAAACCGAACCGCTGCGAATACTTTCATCCAATCAAAATGCTCGACAGTTCATTTTAAATAGATGCAAGCACCAGCAGCGGGCTTTGCAACTTGATTTGGCGAGGGGTGGAAAAGAGCCGTTACGCTATAAGGGGATGTGCATGCGCAAGCTAATATATGACCAACTATTATTTCCAGTATCCTACAATGATCATAACTTTGATTTATTTGACGGTTCAACGATCACCATAGGTCTGACTCGCGGAAACAGAGGTAAACCACTTTTTAAGCTAGTCACATCCACAATTTTTCTCATTGGCTAAGAAGAAAAGATGAAATAGGTTACTGCATCCCATAAACTCACGTACGAAAATCGAGCGTTATAATTCTTTTTTGGCCTATTTATGCGTTAGGGGTAAATTTAATAATTATGTTTCTTACCGGGAGTTTTGTCATGTTGGCTTCGTTCAATAAATTATCAATTTTTTCGTCCTGGTCTGGTATACTTTCCAAGACCTCTGCTTGCAGTGTTTTTTCGTTATCAGTTGTTTCTACAATGACATGTTTTATAATTTTGAACATACTGCAGCTTTACAATGTGGATGGAATTTCAAGCGGAAATTTACACGCAATTTTAGATCTGACCGGGAACCGCTGAGAAAAATAGGTGAATCAAACCTGCAGTCCTGCGATTCCGGTGCAGCGCTCTGACCCTTGAACTACGTGCAGAGTCCACGTGAGCATTGCCATTAACCACAAATTCTTGTGCGTTAAGCACAAGCTCTTTATACAGTATGTACATGGCAAAAAGAGATTTACAAAATCCTGTTAACTGGTCCTTTAGGTTTATTGTATTCGACGATCGCGAAGTGGACACATATTTTCTGGCCTAGGTCAAGCCAAGGCTAGGACAAAGTTTCTTTACGCTACCAAAATATATGTTGGCCAAAGCAATGGCCAGATCAACACTCGCAATGTGACACTGGATCAATAAATCGTGGCTCTTACTGGATGTTTAGTTTTTAGCGTTCGTTCGTTTTGCTTTAGTTCCACCGTTCACGAAATTTGGAAGTTGCATACCGACCTCTATTGCGTGTCCTTATTATGATGCAGCGAGGGACTGGCGGGGAGGTGCAAACCTGGTTTCCACTTAGTCGTAATTTTCGTGTCGATATAAATTTACAATCAGTAAAGACTGACTTGTATAAAACACATAAAAGACAACTAGATATAGATAGATTCAGAGTACTTCAGATCAGGACTTGCTCACGACGGACTTAATAAAGCGTTCACTGTTGGTAAACTTACACTAAATTATCCTTTGAAACTAAACAGTAATCAATATATACGTTCTCACCGTCATTCTGTGGTAAAACGTGAACTGATAACTTGTGCCTCCTTTCCGCTGAGTGTGAAATTAATTTCTACACAGAAAAAAGATATGTGTGAATTGTGCAAATTCATGCGTTATTGTTGAATCTCATCAGCCTGAACAAAGAGTAGAAGATTCCGTCGTTTCGCTCGCAGGAAGAAGTTTTCCTAGGCCTACAACAACGGCTAGCTATACAATGTCAATGACATTATTTTCGTACCGTACCTGGAAAAAATCTAGGATTTGTTGTTTAGCTATAGTTCGTAAGAAAGCAACTTCAGTTGTATCTAAAAACGTTAAATAATTATATGATCTTTAATCCCATGCAAGAAAAATGATATATGAATGTTCCAAATTTGCTCGAGTACACATGAGACAATGATGCAAGATCGAGGCTGACAACTGACTTAAATGTAACCTATTCCGCAACCCAGGAAAATTCAGGAAGTGTTTCCATGCATGTACCTCTCTCAAAGTTATATTGTTGTGACGTAATTTCTGACCAATAACGTGCGCACTCTGCTGACAACTTCTTAGGTTTCTCCAAACGCTGAACTGCCAGAGATTCCTTATACTTTTCTAACTCATCATTTTCCATTTCAGTTAACTTTTCCTGAGAAAAATGAATGTCACAATAGTTTAACTGCACTGAACTAACTTTAATAAGACTCTATTATAGCAACTCTGTTATTTTTAAACTTAAGGTTCACCAAGTAGGGCCATCTCTTACAGTATTGGTGGAGTTGAAATGTACTAGAATCAAACTGGAAGCATTTTCTCTCATGCGACTGAGATAAACATACAACAGACCTTATGCATAATGACGTCACAAGACTTGATGCCCTCGAGGAATGCTGGTCTTAGTAGTCATCACCCGGGGAAATTTCGATATTCGCCATTTTGAATTGTTTAATTTTCCCGGGCGATGACTACTAAGACCAGCATTCCTCGCCGGCTATTGCATAAGGTCTATTGCATATTCCAACATGTACTAACTGTTATGACATCACGACAGTTTTCACTGCAGCAGCTTTACAAAGAGCTTAAATTTACCTGCATAGTAATGAGAAAATGTTCTACCCTCGCATCCAAATACATTGGCGCTTTGTCTGACTGGATGATGAATCTTAAACCCTAAAAGAAATCAGACAAAATAAGTGTTTTTGTAGAGTCAAACCGGCAACATTCGTCTAACATGCGAATGAAGATAAATTAAAATCAGACAACTGTATATTGCAAGAATAAAACGGTCACAAAGGTAAAATCAGATACCGCAACCATGCACCAACACCATAAAAAGTAATGATTAGAAAAAAATTTTACGAACCTGTACACCATTAGCTCTTCGAACACCACTCACAACTATATAACCTAAGCAAAACGAATGAGATAATTGTTGACTAATGTATACAATCGCTCAAAAGAGCATCGAAAAATGCGTAATGGTCCATTATGGTACACGCTTATAGCCCAGGAAAATAAGAAATCAAATCATAAGTCTAACATGACTATACAGTAAGTGACCTTACGTACCCAATTGTTCTTTAGTACGTAAAATATCAAAGCATGACTCTGCTATAATTTTACTGAACAACTCGAGAAGCATATTGCCTTCCAAAGTCTGTAGTTCACACTGAAAGGAACAAGTGGAGTAAACCGGTGAGCTCTCTATATATAACTGGAGTGAGAACTCGAGTTAAAAAAGTGAAGCAAAAAATGGAGCGAATTGGAAGTCAGTTTCAGTCTCTTTCTATCTTGTCTGCGCGGTCTGCAAGGAGTGGCCGAAATTTCGTATTTTGACTTCGATTCAAAGAATAGCGCTATGGTTTTATGATCTATAATAACTTGATTAGCGATACATTCCGTTGGAAAAAACTGGACTTAGCTGGGCAAAATGGTTTTAAAATTGTTCACAATCTTCATAGCTATTGGATGTCAATTCCACCAGCAGGTTTCGCTTTTCTCATAGACTAAATGACTGACGTTTTTGATCCAGATATATAGAGCTCACTGCATGGAGTAAAAAATTCAGCTACGTTAATTATCGATGAATCAATAAGGCTATTAATAATATACATAAAGATATTACTCGACTGTGATTGGTTGATTTCAGTGCAGTTAATCCCAAACAGCAGTGCAATTTTCTGTAATCACAGTGCAATTTTCTGTAATCACAGTGCAATTTTTTGTAATCACAGTGCAATTTTCTGTAATCACAGTGCAAAATCTGTAACAAACTGATGTGATTGGTGGAAAAACATTGCGGTGATTAAATCAACCAATCAGTTTAAAGCAATTTAGTTTAAAGAAGTAACGGTCACAGATTGCTTCAAAACAAAACAAACATGGCGCCGCGCTACACAAAGTAAAAGTTGCCTTCGCGTGGAAAATATGGCTTTTATCTTTATTTTTAAATGGAAAAGCATTTACCTTAAACAAGACTAACAAAAATTAAATAGTCGAGTGTAAATTATTAATAAGTAATAGCATGGTTTCTCGTGAAATTTGGATAAACATGCACTCGTGAGTTTTTCAAAGACCTCAAATAGCACTCGTCCTTCGGACTCGTGCTATTTTGAGGTCTTTGAAAAACTCACTCGTGCATGTTATATCCAAATTGCACTCGAAACCATGCTATTACCTATACTTATCAATCAATCGACCACCCAACTCAACTATGAATCAATCTATATCTATCAATAACTTATAAAAGAATATTTAAAAAAAAAATTTTACCTGATAATATATTTCTAAGCAACAGCTTTTATGGACTTCATTTTCAACTTCAAAAAGTAAATTTGCTCCTGAATATATATAAAGACAAAATTGCAAAATTAAATAATAACAAAATAACATGCACTTTAACAAGGCATGAACTAACAATATTTATCATTATCTTATAATACAGCACCATGACTAAACTATCCCACAAATTTGTCTCACGTGCAACCGCTTAAGAGATATCCTTACCATCAGGCAACTGTACTTCTCGATGTTTCGTTAGCTGCGAGGGTACTAATGGCTTGCTGCATGAATTTTGTTGAAACACACTCTCCGCTTTACTTGCAATATCCAAGGCCTCCTAAAATAAAATTCAGTTGTCAAACAATGTTCACAAAAATTTCACAAGCTCTTTTTCAATTTCAAAACAAATCAGTCTCTAGAATAGGAAAAACAAATTAATTAATTGGCTAAAACAGCCAACAAATTGGTTGTCTCCAATTAATTGGTTGTTTTAACTAATTAGTTTTTACAGTTAATGTAGGTTTCATTAAGTGCTGTGGTGATCAAATGTATGGGAACGAGCAGACGATGTTATAAATACTTCAGTTACAGGTATTTCCCATAAAACACGTCAAAAGTTTACATTAATAAGTTTACATGAAATAACAGAAGTGTTTGGAAATGAAAACTTTTTTCTCTAAGGATAGTTCTGTAATGGACTCGAACAATGCACATTCTCGCATGGATAAGTAGTCGCGAAATTATTTCGAGCAGTTATAAAATGACTAAAAACTCGCCTTCAATCCAATTCTTCACGCCAATAGATACAGTGTAGTGAACCATATACTCATTCCAATAACAACTGTGTTTCCTTTCCAGTTGAATTTCATTGGAACTCATGCAGCTATTAAATTTATCATACTAGCATATATAGTTCAAACCTCTTTTGTTAAATTTCCATGGAGTAACACTTCGATGTGAATACGTTTCAGCAATTCCACTATAAATTTCTTAAATACCTCCTCCGTGATATCTATATAGAAACATTGTAGGTATATTTATAAGATGATAGTAAATTAACCTTTGATTTTGAGAAAGAAGGGATATCGATGAAATTGACTACCATCTGCTGGAGGATAGTGGATAAAATATTTGCTGTGTTGGTGTAATGTACTCAGGCGAATAGTAGTATTCCAAAGATCGTAGGTTCGATTCCCACCGTGGCCAGGCATATTTTTCAAGCCTGCCCGGTGTGGATATATATACACTCAGAGTAACACCACACAGTGGATAAAATGTCGAAATTTTAATGACATGTCACTGACAATTTTGCCCAAGACCGTAACATTCAAGTGATAAAGCTTGCAAAATAAAAAACTTTTTGATACATGTCCTAAACACGAATGTGTTTATTAAGTGACGTTCATATATCGAGTGCGATTTTTGAGTTGTAGTTTGTACAGCGTATTAATTTGAAGGTCATGGCCATTTGGCAAGCATAAATATTTCAAACCACTGTTTCACACTAACCTGTCATTGCATCAAGCAGTTCATCATTGGACCAGGCTAGTTCCTCAAGTATATATGAAGTATAATATATCGCATGATGATGAGGTTGTTGGGCTCGGAAATTACGTAAAGTACGTTCTGTCTACAGTAAGGAAAGCAAAAAATATATTTAGACCATATGTAAAAAATGGTTTAAAAACTCTAAAATTTTTAAAATTTAACTATAGAAGAAGATAAATTGGCGGCTTCCAGCTCAAATTAATGGACACGTCCCGAACTTCGGGCTGGCAATGATAATTTCTTACAAATCTACAATGGTTATCTACAATGGTTATCTTTGGTGGCGTAGGGATATTACCGCGCGCAGGGAAAACCCTCGTCAACTCTCGTCAAAATTTGAACCAGCTCAAAGTTGATGAGAGTTTATGAGAGTGCACGAGAGTCTATGAGAGTTGGTCACCTTGAACACACGGACTTTAGTCCCGCCCTCCCCCAGTATTTTCCACAAAACACATAAAAATTTTTTCCAATGTTTCTCTACAAGGATGATTCTGTATAGACTCGAACAATGCACATTCTCTCATGGATATAGCGTTAAAGTAGATTCGATGAGAGTTGATCACCTTGAACATCAGGCCTTAAAATATCTTTTACAGGGCCGTCTGACAAAATGTCCGGTGACGTTGAGTTTGGATCGGACATATGTCCGATGACATTCAGTTCAGTTTTGGCTCGGAAATAAGTCTGAATGACACAAATGAATAAACGGTAAATGTTGTGAAGATATTAAATAATTTGTTTCTTTCATACTTATTTCCAAGCCAAAATTAACTTGTTTGCCAGAACAGCAGTGTTAAAAAAGACTTCGACAACTTAAGCCCGTTTTCCACTTCACCATTTCGCTCGCCGCCCCGCGCTCGACTTCGTTAAAACAACATTTCCAGTTCACCTTTTATACAATAGTACTCTGATTTTCCATTTAACATACAAGCCTCTAGTCGTGGGCTAGGGTACATTTTGATTTACGTTGGACAAAGCTACAGTTCGGTCGGACACCAATTCACTCGGGTCGGACAAACAATAAACCTCAGTTTCACTTAGGTCGGACAGAATGTCCGGTGGTTTCCTCTCTACGTCGGACAATTTCACGAATGGGTCGGACAATGTCCGTGACCGACCGATATTTTAAGGCCTGTGAACACACGGATTTTAGTCCCCCCCCCCTCCCCCTTTCCCAGTATTTCCCACAAAACACGTCAAAAATTTCCAATGTTTCTCTATAAGGATGATTCTGTATAGACTCGAACAATGCACATTCTCGCATGGATAGCGTTAAAGTAGATTCGATGAGAGTTGGTTACCTTGAACACACAGATTTTAGTCCCTCCCTCCCCCTTTCCCCAGTATTTCCCACAAAACACGTCAAAAATTTCCAATGTTTCTCTATAAGGATGATTCTGTATAGACTCGAACAATGCACATTCTCGCATGGATAGCGTTAAAGTAGATTCGATGAGAGTTGGTTACCTTGAACACACGGATTTTAGTCCCTCCCTCCCCCTTTCCCCAGTAAGCGATTTAGGAGTGAAATTATTTAAAGATGCATGGACTCGCCTTTTCTTTCAGTATTTCAAATCTCCGAGAATCCACGACGAAGTTAGTCATCCTTTGAAGAATCTTGAGCATGAATGTGTCTTGTTTGTCGTTATAACCGCCTACGGAAAGCTAAAAACAATTAAAAAAAAAAATAATCACAATGAATTTTCTGATTACAAAAATGCAAAGTCGACTTAAATCTCTTTATGCACAATTTTAATCCAAATGCCTTTGTGCTGTCCCACAGTCTATACCGATAACGACATCTTAGCGCAAAGCACATATATAGAGGACTCAATGGCATACATCATATGTATTCGACCGGCCACACCACCCCTAAGACATTCATTTACTTACATTTATACCATATATGCTAACGTTGACATTGTAATTCAGGCCTGCCAATTCCGCATCATAAGCGTACTCCGTAAGAGAGTCTTTTAGTAGCATGACAAACAGTCGATTCATATTGCAGTGTAGTGGATCTCGGTAAGCCAAAGGACTAAAGAACGTGATTAAAATACCAAATGAAAATATATAAGCTAATACAGACCAAGAAATACAGAAGAATATCAAATGAAAATATATAACACAGACCAAAAAATACAGAAAATCAACTGGGGAACAACATCAGTTTGTAACAGTTCTTGATTCATGGAAATTTTACCTTGTTATCTGAAAATAAGCGCACGACTTTGGGACAAAAAACGTGTCATCCTGTTTAAACCACACTTTCATGAAAGGACAGTTCTATGCATTCAAATAAAGAAAATACAAATACTTAATAGGTTCACAAATTTTAATTAGAACTGAGATACATGCATGTAAGACAATTCAGCGAACTAAACGCACCTTGATAATTTCGGGTACATTCTTTCCCTAAACGCAAAGTTTGAAAACATTGAAAACACACTAAAATAAAATGTTGACATTTTTATAAAACTTTTGAAATACACCCTTCCGGAAAGTTCGTCACTTTGGTTTGCCTCGTACCCAGGCGCAAATAACTAAAAATAGGCACACTACAGTGTTTTTGTATAGATCAGTGGCTAAGCTGAGCGAGCGCGCTGGTTATAGAGGCTCTAGAGCCAAGGTGACGTACCTTTCGGAAAGGTGTATTGCACATATTTTTACCTCTTGGGTCCTTGGTTTTATATCAAAATTAGTTGCAATAAACTCATTAGGTTTAGGCATTCTAAACGCTTCATTCAACTCCACATCACACCATTTCTTAAAATCAAAGATAAACATGCAGCAAAATAAAGAAATTAATACTGTATGCATGCACGCCTGCTCAGAGTAACAGTGGGAACCATCTTCGAATTTATTTCAGTTTTTACAGTAAGTTGTGTTTTGTCGGATCATTACATTCAAGTTTGTCAAAGTTAGCCTCTAGATCTAATTAAAAGAAGGGCGTCCGTCCGTCCGTCCGCATTTTACCTTCTTGTCTGTCCGTCCGTCCGCCGTCTATCCGTCCGCATCCGCGTTTTACCCTAAGCCTTTGGTCGAAAAAATAATTGGAACATCCGCCCCCTGAGCTGCAGTGGTTTTCAAAAGTTAAAATTATATTACTGACATACCTTAACTACATCACTTGGTATTTTCTTGACGCTGTATTTAGTACCATACCATTCCTCAGTTTGGTCGGCAGATTCCTCAAATTTCTTAGATACAACGAAAACACTAAAACAGAAGAAAAAGAACGCCATAACATACAGTACTCATGACGAAACTTACAGTATCAACTCTAAAAGTGCGAGGGCATGCTCCGCGAGAAAATTTTGAAAATCCGGTATCTCAGATTGGCTAAAAATGCATTTAATATTGTAGTAAAGTTCTCTGATGAACTTATACTATTTCTTCTCGTATTATTGTATCTCTCTTAACCATCATTATTAACGGTTCAACTAGGTTCGTACCGTAATTTTTCAGGTACAAGTAACTCCAAAAGTTGTTTGACGGTTTCTTTATCAATTTCAGAAAGTAGATAGGCTCCTGACAAGACGTCATTCATACCATAATGCTGCCGTGAAAATAAATATTATTAAACATGAACAGTGATGATCTTACTCCAAGGTTTTATGGCAAGAGATTTTGCCTAGAAGCACGGTATATAAATATGAATTATCATAGAGATGAAGGTAGCTATTCCCAACGAGAATGTCAAACACTAGAGTGATACTGTATGTACAAATATTGGGTCGTACTGTACTTAAACCAGAGTAACAAGCAAAAACATGTATAAAATTATACTTGGTTGCTGAGAGATAACAAACTTGAAAAGAATATAAAGTAGTTTAAATGGCGAAACCCTCGATCCAGTTCACATAGAGATCAATAGGCCATAGCAGGAAATAATGGTGGATCCTGGCATCTTAAGGCCCTGTCACACTATTGCGTATCGTACTAGCGTATGCCAGCGTATGGAAAATATCACTCATACGCCGGTATACGCTGACATACGCCAGGGATACGTTAGGCATAGGTTGTATACGTTTCAAGCACGGTCGCATACGGTGGCATACGGCGAGGCAGCAAATTTTTTTAAAGCATGTTCAAAAGTTTTGTGCGTATCGGACGTATGCTTTATACGATAAGCATACTCTAGGCACACGCTGAATACGCTAGAGGTACGCCAGATGTACGGTACTCATACGCTGGCATTTCAAAGGATTTTTGTGCGTATGAAAATTATTTCATTAATTTTCATACGCTTCTCATACGTTTCTCTCTCATACGCAATAGTGTGACAGGGCCTTAAGATCCCAGAAAATTTTCAGACCTGGCTTAGCTGGCAGAAATATTTGGGAATTGCAGAATGCTAACAGGCACAGAAAATATTTTATTGCGAAGAATATTTACTGAATTCGGCAGAAAACTTTGACCCCAAAACTTAGGATCCAGAAACAAAAAAATATATCCTGCTATGCAATGAGCCACACTTGCAACTTCTATACTTACATGCAAATATTTGGAAACACGTGTAACAAGCTGTACTGGTTTCTCTTTGTCTTTGAAACGGAAATGCATAGCAGCCAATGCCTGAAAAAAAACACAATAAGAGATACATGTAGAAATTGCAAATGGCGGATTTCACGAAAACCGTCAATGATAAGGCAGCAAGCAACACGTACCTGTACTTCTTTGAATATCCAATCTTTAGGCTCGATTTCACGAAGCATTTTTAAGTATTGAAAAACACTAGCAATTATATCATCAACATGATCTATAAACAAGGAACACGAACTTTACCCACAGTGGAATGAGTGGATAACTCTTCTTACAAGAGCGAAATTATAATCAGAAACTGAATATTGAAGAAATTGATCTCTGGTCGTTGCAAGTAAAAAGCGCATACAATAACCACTCTGCAACTCGACCACCAATTTAAAATGGTATGAAAGTTTAAATGTCTAGAAGTGATGCTAAAAATCAATGGGGTATAAAGCGATACATCAAAAATAATATATGCATATAGAGTTACTAACACCTGTATCAAGATACAAAACTCTAATCGACTTCAACATTACTGCTCTTACCCAGTCCACTTTCCGTCAACTCAATATCACAAATAAAAAACATAAATCCTTTAGCTCCTTCCATTGCTCCCGCGCCAAGAGCATTGGCCCATCCTGTGGTGGGAAAGAAACGTCTTACTATTAACGATAATTTATTAAATATCGATCACACCAACGTGTGTCTTTGTTGTTGGTGCAGGATGAAAACTGAAGACCTTCCCCTTCGTGATCGAAATGCCAGACTATTATGTTGGGCAAACTACCAACACGAAGAAATTTTATATTTTGGATTATAATAGTAAGGATTGCTACATAATACACGTGACCCATGTTACGTGACTCGTGTTACATATTAAGTACATCTTAATATTTCAGTTCAGAATTGTTTCCAATTTAATCCAATAGCTTCTGAAAATTCTTGACAACAGTTACCCCAGTGTAGTACGTACAGTAAAGGATTATACCTTGCTCTTTTAAGTAAGACAACAAACTGCCGTCTGCTTCATGGCCAATAAGATGAGATATATACTGCTCTGGCTAGAGAAGGTATCAAGAAAAGTAAAAAGGTCATTCGACTGTTGAGTACTGCTGGGATTATTTGGACTTTTCAGGAGAAAAACTAAAAATGGTAAAATGTACAGATTGTGTTCTCCTTGAAATTTCATTGAAGATTCATGCTTCTACCAATAAAAAGTGACAAAACTATAGCGACTCATTTGAATGGGAAAAGGGTAAATGTAAAGGATTTGGGGTAAGAAAGACATGGAGTGAAACGAATAAGATATGGCTCAGAAGAGAAGGTAATGGCGGAGAATCGTGGCTCGATGTTTGAAAATGCACAGAACGAACTACCTGTACAACGAATAAGAATAATATATATTCAAAGATATATTCAGTGTGATAACGTTAACTTTACTTCTTAAGCAAAGTAGGATCATATCGAATAGAATGCAACGTTACCTTAGCCTTATAGCGAGACGACATATCAGGAAAAGGAAAGATAAGCCTCAGTTTTCTTGTATCCATTACAGGAACGACCTCAAAGCGAACCTGTAGTGGAATTAAAAAACAAGTTCCTTGTACGCACACCGCGTGAATTTATTTGGGAAACTTTCGATCAGTAAGACAGATTCATTAGAAATAATAAGCTACACAAACTTTCAATTACTGTACATGTATGTCAACAACAGAAACAACTACTGCATGCAAAAACAGTGACAAAGACACCGACAATAACAAAACATCATAACATATGTAACTGTTACAATAAGAGCCAACACCACTACTACCTGCCAAAACAATGTCAGCAACAGCAACAACAACAACAACAACAACAACAACAACAACAACAACAACAACAACAACAACAACAACAACAAATGAACAGCTGCAGCAGCAATTGCAACAATAAGTCAACAACAACCTCAACAAAATGACAACAGCAACATACACATCAACAACATCGAAAACAACAAAGGCAACAGTGACAACAATAACACCATCCCAATACACCAACAACTATAATACAACAAAATTAGTACGACAACATTATTTCTTTTAAATTAAAATACTTCCTACAATTTCAGAGCATGGATTTGCGCACCTGCAACTGATCTTGTTTGTACGGATGATATTCAAATGATGGAACAGTAGCATTGCAGTTTATAACAGGACTAAATAAATTATTGACCATATCCATTAATTCATTCAAAGATTCTACAAAATAAAAATTGATTTCATTGACCTGTGTCAGGAGATCGAGTTAGCTAGAAGGATACATGTATATTAAGTATTTTTAATCTTTTTCAGGTTGACAAGGGTCAAAGTCCACTGATTTTTAGTATGTCTCACCTTTACCAATAAGAGTCAATGACATTATATTTGCTGAATAATATTTCTCATGAAACTCCAGCAGTGCTTTCTGCACATCAATTCCCAGCTCTCGTGGTCTCGTTTCCAGAGTTGTTTTGTTTCCTAATAAAAATACATGCAATTATTGTACAAAACAATTCCCCCCCCCCCCCTTCCTTCTCTTTTTCTTCCTACTAGTACCTGTACCCCTTAGCTAAGGGTAATTATCAGACCACATACCCACCTGTACAAAACTTTCTGAATGGATGAGATGGATCCACAGTTGATCTATTTAATTGTTCCAGGCGCCACGAATCGTGTTTCAGATTTTTGTCATTTTCTAAAAAACGAGCAGTACGGTAAATTGTTTGGTTTAGAGATGCAGATGGCTTTTCATAAAAATATCAGTTAGAGCATGTGAAGAAACCACAGGGTTACACAATGGAAAGTACACTTCATAGTGATTGTGAGGTTGGAAAGCAGGTAAAATACTGTACATTAGATGATGCTACTCAGAGTGGTTATGGGCAAGCTGAAAAATTATTTGACCTTGAAGTTCTCAAAAAATCCAAATTGAGTAAAGATCTAAACTACTGGGTTACTCTAATAAATTGGGACCTTCTCTCATTTTCTACAAAGACAAGTACCGTACAATCTGTGTGTACCTGAATTGACTGCATTAACTTCTCTATCCTTGGCATTTTCATTAAACAAAGGACTTATAAAGAACTCTGCAAAACTATAAGAAAAAAATTAAGGGCACAAAACAAATTTTGACAAGATCTGACAATTAATTAACTTACATTATATGTTGGTGAACAAAAGCAAACAGCAGAGTCAGATTTCCTTGGCATTTGTCATTGAATCAACAAAAAGCATAATACATGTTAATTCTATATCATACTGTCTAATGATGTATGCTGACAATATCGAAAAGCTACCGGTACAACTAGAAGTTGACATCCGCAGAAGGAGCCAGGGTCACAAGCAGCCAAGATGAACTATATTACGGTACAGTAGGTATCCTATGGCAGTCTACATTCAGGGCCATGCCAGGCGGGATGTGGTTGGGGGGGGGGGGTGAATTAAAGAATTTGGGTGCCCCCTTCCTATCGGAGCCCCCCTTCAAAAAACGTTTCCGGAGGGGAGGTCAACGGACAGACACTAGTTTGGGATAATGGGGACTTAAAAATACAGTAAAATTCTCAGACCTTTTTTGACCTCAAATTTTCAGAAAATTCCTTAATATGTAACACGTTCCGCAATTCCAGCATTTTGGGGCCCCCTCTGGGCAAGTTGGGCAACCTTTTTTTACTTTTACTCACATTTCAAGCGCGGACTCCAGACTGTCATGCTTTACATCAAAATAGAAATTTGTGTGTTCGTTGGAGGTGAATGCATTTGATGAACCACTGTTTTCACTAAGAAACTACAGAAAAGAAAACAACTCTCAATGAAGTATTCCCTTTATTAGCCCACTGGGGGCTTAAATTTTCCAGTAGTTCTTGAATATGGGTATATGCTCAAAATACTCAGACTAGTCAGACATAATAACACTACCTGGGTGAATTTATTTTCTTCAGGGAACTAAAGAAATGAAAATATAAAGTCAAATTACCTTGAACATTATTTAATAAGTTAATGCACTTATTAATTCACATTTTGTTAATTAGATTGATTGGTAGAACTGTACATTGATAAAGGTACACAACCTTTTTTGTGCCAAGGAAAGCCATATGTTCACAGAAATGTGCCAAGCCTGGGATATCATCTGGATCTGACATGCTTCCTATAAATTTATGTACAGCAAATTAGTTGTCCAACACTTTTCGTCGCAAGCAAAATTGCCTGTAAATATAGCAACTTAGTTCAGAGTGACAAGGGCAGCAACTCCGGGAAGGGCACAAACTTGGTTTGTGATTGACTTGAACAATTATATATCCAATGTGGAAAGTTTGTTCAATGCACAACCGAGCATGCCCATGGAGACAGTTGTCCACAGGTTAACCCATTGAGTGGCAGCACTCTCCCCTGACGAGTAAAATCGCCTGGCGTAAAACGGAGTAAAATAACAAAGTGGCATAATCTGGGCACATTGCCACTTAAAGGGTTAACAGGGTGCATGGGCAGATGGTCTGATTAACCCATTGAGCGGCAGCACTCTCCCCTTGATGAATAAAATCACCTGGCGTTAGACAGAGTAAAATAACAAAGTGGGGCACATCTGGGCGCATTGCCACTTAATTAAAGGGTTAAAAGACAACCGTTTAATTTTTTGAAATTTCAGAAAATAAAACATATTGATTGATCCAAACAAGACTTTCTAAAAAATATTTCAAAATTTATAATCAAGCTTTGGGAAGTTGTAAACAGGGTGAATTTTAAGTGCAATATGCCAAAGATCTTTGGCGTGAGTTTGGCAAATTACAATGCTATCTATAATTAATATTGGCATATCTTCGGCGTAGAGTTTACAAGGAATGCACCCTGAAAGTTGCTATGAAATTTTATGTAGCTAAAATTAAGGTTTAAAACCAACAATCCCCTGTTAGGGGGAAGTCCCCCAGTTGTTTTGACATCCCTGGAAGCCCGACCGGCCGACCCTGCCTATACTTCCATACCCTTTTATTACCTATATGTACATCCATTGACGCAGCAGCCTTCTCAGTATTGGAATCACTAACTATGAGAATTTTCATATCATTTTGTAAAACTAGTCCACGATATGACCTGTCATCCCCTTCTGACTTTGTTATATCATCACAAATCACTTTAAAACCGCTACTCTTGTCTTCAACAGTCATCTTAGATATAAAAATGCTATTCTAGGTTGCCCTATTCGCTGCTCAAAGCATAAAATTAAAATGTTAAATATTCTAAAATCAATTTTGTAAAAAAAGTTTTTGTCTGCTGGCACGTATTGTTTCTGAGGAAATTAATCTGCGAGTAACCCTCTCCCCCCGGCCAGAATAGCAAAATACGTCATTGTCGTTGGCCAAAAACGCGGGAAAAAGATCAAAGATGGCGGAAAACAAGGAGCGAGGATCTTTGTCAGATATATTGAATGATTCCGTTGATTCGGAAATAAACGAAGATGAAGGAGAAGAAGTTACTGCTGCTGAAGTGTTGGAGCGTTTAGAGCAGGTTTATAATCAATAACATAGAAAGCTTCAATGCTTCTGACTGAATGTCATTTTACATGCTATATTTTTGGACAAAATATTTAATACCCATTGAGATATTGACTTATTGAGCCAGCCTGGATTAGGGGTTTTATCTCATTTAAGGGGCAAGTGCACTGTTGCAGATTCCTGCACCAAGAACATACTAGCAAGTCACAATCCAGAAACCTGTAGATGGACATTTTAAGCAGTTTGGTGTAGCAGTTTGATAAATGGATGGGTATTAATTGTTTATCTGAAATATCTACACCCAACTCCCCTGGATGGAATTCGTGTTTCACAAGGACTGTTCTAGACAATTTACGGGGTGGGCTCCTTACCCCTATTTAATTTGCCTACACCACTGATCACAAACATAATTTTTCCTAGGCATGGCTGAATGAAAAATTTGCTCCTGAGCTTTTAGAGAGCAAGGTGGAACTAGTGGAGTGCATGCTTGATCAAATTAAAGAAATGGTAAATCAATAAACTGTATAAAAAAACAAGCAAATCCCTATTACCAGATAGGCTTGGGCGGTTTTGCTTAAAATCAAAACCGAAAAACCGTCTGATTCTAAACCGGTAAAACCGGAAAACCGGTTTTTTCCCTTTAATTTGTATTTCAACTGAATGAGGAGGAATTGTGGTATTTTTTTGACATAAGCAAACGAACAGAACATGACAAAACGCAAATTGTGTAAAGGTAACCTAAAACGACTTCGGTTTTAAAATAAAAGGGTCAAGAACGCATTTGAAAACTTATACCTCTTTAGTTCTTACCGACTTTACGGAAAAATAATATAATTTGTATCTAGTGTCATGTAATTGTGTTTAATTAGTGTCATGTTTTGAGAATTAGGATCGAGTTTCGGGCGTTGACAGTAAACAATTTCGTAATGACGGTTTTCCGGTTTTTGTAAAAGCTAAACTGAAAAAACCGGTTTGAAAATAAAACCGGAAAAAACCCGAAAAAACCGGTAAACCGCCCAAGCCTATTACCAGACTTCTCTTTCATCCAGAATACTCCTGTATCTTTAGTCTTAATGCGTTATAAATACTATTATCACAAAACCCCAATTTAATTTTTAAAAAAGGCGAATGAAAGCAACAGGTCAGCAGGATGCCGAAGATGTCCACATAATGTAATAGCAACACTAGTACTCTATTGATGTCGGTGATACTAATTTTTTAGGAGGAAAACTTAAAAGAAGCTGGGAAAGGAGACTTAGTTGGTTCTCTGCACAGACTTGAGGTTGATTAGCAGACATTTATTGCATTAAATTCAAAACTGAGTGTATTGGTGTACAATTAATAACTTTTTCTAATTTTCCTGTGTTTGATGCCTGTAGATAATGATCAGTGCTTTAATATTAATTTTAGATTCAAAGAATACGATATGTGATAAGCAGTTATTTAAAAATTAGGTTAAAAAAGGTCTGTATTAAAGCTAAATCCTGTGAATATTTCCGGACTTACATACCTAGAAATCTTAATTTCTTAGAAATTCCTTAAAAAAGCAAAACCCTATGAATATTTCTGGACTTACCTAAAAATCTTAATTTCTTAGAAATTCCTTTAAAAAAAGCCAAACCCTATGAATATTTCCAGACTTACCTAGAAATCTTAATTTCTTAGAAATTCCTTAAAATTTGGAACTTCCTTAAAAATTTTATTTCCTTAAAAAGGTCCAAACGTCCTCAAAAGTAATTAGCAAAAACAAGTTATTTAAAAACGTCAACTTTTAAATCAATCCGTTTTAGTTTCAACATTGATAGCCAGTATTTAAAATTCTATCCTGTATTTTTAGATAGAGAAATATGCATTTCATATAATGGAGCCATCAAATGACAAGACAGATTATATCTCACGTCTCTCTGCTGAAGAACATGTTTATGCAAAAGAGTACGGAAAAGAATTATCATTTTCACAGTCTTTCAGTTTCATTAGCCACGGTGATTTACGTAGTGCTTCTGACTTCTGACAGAAGCTCTGTCTCAATTTCTGTACTCAATCCAAACTCTTTAGAACTTCCCCTTACTTTGTCTTTAATTTAAACCTTAATTTCTGCCTTCTCTACGATCACCCTGTCCCGGTATATTCAACTCTCTAAAAGAATTTCCATTGCTTTTCGGGTATATATTTCTCCATGGACAGTATATACCATCTTAGTATCGCTTTCACAATAACGTTCATCACTGTTTTTGCCTTATTCATTGCCTTAGGCTGCGTATACACTCAGGGGTGAAACTAGCCCCTTTTAGTTAGGGGGGGGGGGGTGTCTGCTAGAATTGCCCTGCGAAAGCCGATGATGCCCTGCAGCAAAAATGTTTTTTTGGCCACTATTTCTCGTCGAAAATTTTTTTTCCGGACATTCCAAAAAGGGGCCAAAAAATTTTTCCGTACATAAACCAATTAAATTAAGGGTCAAAAAATTTTTTTCAGACAAATTCCTGTTAACACATGCATGAAACCCTTATTTTTTACCAATATCTGTAAAATTTATGTCTATAAATTCTATTCAATTCCCTCTGGAAGCCCTGGAATCTACTTAATAACTCTACATTCTATCATTTAAAATCTCTCATTGCCCTGCCAATCCAGATGATTTGTACTTTGGGGGGTGTCCCACAGGGGTGTCAGCCCCCTTCAAGTTTCGCCCCTGTATACACTATACCACCGGATAGCTTTCCATAGCGGCGCGAAAACGCACTTATCCGATACGGAATGTACAACTTTCTGAAGCTATAAGCGAAACAACATCTCTCCGTTGCAATAATTCCTCTGAAAATAACGTTCCTAAAAGGTACGGATAGGTGTTTTTTGATGTCGCTACGGAAAGCTATCCGATACAGTGTAAATGTACAGTAGCCATAGTTATCACTTTTGATGTCAGACTTTACATTTTCCGGGCTTTTCTTTCACTAATTTTGACGTATTTTTTCGCTCTCTAGGTATTGCAAAAACGTTGAGGATCTTTTAAAATCTCTGGCACTGGATGACATGCCACCAAATATAAACAGCTTAGATAAAAAGAAGTCAGGTAAAGTAGAGTACCGCCAAGATTGCGGTAGATCCTTGCATTAGTTGGCGATGGATGATTACATTTTTTTATTTTCAATTTTAGTTCCTCAACCAAACCTGGATAGTTATTTATTCATGAAAGTTCTTCAACCACAAGAACAAGTGGAACTTGACCCTGAGTAAGCCGCATATCATTAAACCTAAACATGCATGTCCTTTCTATATATAGGCTTAACAGACTACAGCGGGGAGGGGGGGGGGGGCAAGGGGGGCAACTTCCCCCCGGAGAAAATAATTAATTATTCTTTGGATATTTGGGACTTTTTTCGGCATATAAGCCTTACTGCCCCCCTAGTGAAAAAATCCTGCGTACGGCCCTGTGAACTCTCATCAGTTTTCACCTGGCTTTGATGAGAGTTGAGTTGAGAGTCGTTTGAGCTGTAATATCCAGTCACCTCTCGTGCACACTGTTTCTTGCCAACTCTCATTCCTGTTTGACTGGACAACCTCATTACGACGCAGCCTCGTACCCAGGCTCTTTCTGGAGAGAGCCACGCTCAGCTAATATATCTGATTCTTGTTCGTTTTAGTGATCAACCTACAGACTTGGAAGAAGGAGCTCAGCATTTGGTACGCTATAGTGTCATCTCATCTTTGTTGGAAAATGGTGCTGTGGCTTTGACATAGCCGACGGAAGACATAGACAACGATAGATTACGATAGAAGCCAGTTGTACGAACTACGAAGCCCAGTTGCATGAGCAGATAGCTTACCGGTGGATAAGTCGAAACTAAACAACTCTTACCGATTGTTCAATTTAAGTTGAAATATTTTAGTCTGGTCATTCAATGAATGTATACTGTAGACTCGTTTTCAGAATTCACTATTTTGAACTTATCCAATTATAAGCTACCTGAATGTCATACATCCGGCCCTAAATCTGCTTTACTATGTGGAAATACTGGGAGGCTGAGTAAATACTGGCATTCTAAGTGGAAGGACCGACCTGATTGAGCTCCTATTTAATGCCCGTTACTCATTGCGGCACACAATACACAATAACATATTTTCAGATAACTCGTGACGTATGCGTAGTTAAATTTGTTTGAATATAATGTAAGGGTAATGTAACAAAGGTAACGAACATGTACATATACTGTAGTAATCAATCTTTTAATAAATCCTGTATGCGAGTGAACTTATCTTATACAACTGGACCTTACTGGCGGACCGCTCTTCCACAGTTAGTACGGGAGAATATGCCCGTTCGCGGGTTAGGCGTTGACAAACACGCCGGAAATGCGAGGGACTGTGGAATCGTGTGTCGAAAAGTTGGCAGGATAGTCGAAAACTTGGCAAATGGGTAAAAATTGACATTTTTCTCAAATATGGACTTTGGCAAAGCGGGACGATGCAAGCTTTAGAAAGCTCATATACTTTTTCTCTCGCGGCGCCCCACCCCCTTGCGCCTCCGCGCAGGCTACGTGTGACGGATGCGAAGTGAAATATCCACCTGCTGGAGGAGAAAAATCGCCGACAAAGTTGCTCACTTCTTTGTAAATAAGTTTCATTTTCATGGGTAAATAAGTTAAAAAATAGGCTCGGTTTTTAAAATTTATTTTGAGCCTTCAAAATTCAGTATTATAGTCTTATAGATAGTTTTGGTGAAATAGTACCGTATATTGAAATGAAGTGAAATAATAATAAAAAATAATAACTTCGGCAAATAGACAACTCTTCGTCGTCCCCGTGGTTAAGCCTCTCCCTTTACACGACGGAAATCTGGAAATTTCCATTGACACAATAGCTGATTCTACGTAGCCCTAGCTGGCAATAAGCAACGTGATGACATATTATACTCGCGCACTTGGCACTTTGCTGTTCATTCCCGCACGTCTCGCGTTGGACGCAATATATTCAAGATGGTGGTGCGCACTTTTGTAGCGTTAGTGGCCGTTTTCTTGTGCGCTATTTGCGCGCAAGGCCGTCGTCAAAGGATACAAGTGCGTCTAGAAGGTGGTACACAACCGTACGCAGGCCGTGTGATGGTTTATTATCGTGGTGTTTGGGGAAGTGTTTGCGACAACGCGTGGACAAAGAAGAACGCTGCAGTCGTTTGTCGACAACTCGGTTACAAAGGAGTTGTGCTGGCCACGAAAGGGTAAGAAATCTGTCACTATATCAGTATACAGTTCATTGCAATGATAAACTATCATGGCGTTTTCATTAATGTGAGCTATTGAAACAACGATTTGTTTATAATAGGAATCGTGCTAGTTTACATGTCTAATATTTCGACTTGTGAAACTCATTATAATGCATGAAGAAAATTCAAAAGAAATCCATGTTTAATAATTTAATCCGGTGTTGTGTCCACACTTTCATAAACCTCTTCCTCATACCTTTTTCACTTCTTTTAGAAAAACTGTTTCAAAACACGACTTTTTAAATCCTTGCGTCACAAGCTATTTACAGCATTCGTGTCCGTACATGTTGTAAAGAGGCAATCTCTCACCTTCGGCTCGAGTTTGTATATCTTATACAATACGGCCGCTCAAGTATAGTAGATTTATAGGTAACTGTAAGAAGTGTATTAGTGTATTACATTTGTTATGACTTTGACACATAACTATATTAATATCCCATCAGATTCGATACAGAATCTGGAGTGAGATTATCGTAACAAGAATAATCACAAGATCTAAACCAAATAATTTCCTATACTATCTTAAATGTTGAAATTTCATAAACCATTAATAGTTTAGCCATATAGCGTAAGTATGGCTGCGGAGCTCTATCGTACTGCATATGCATATGGAGTACTTTTCCTTGACTTGTGTTTGAAGCTCTAGATAAAAACATTGTAATTTGAGACATGCTGTAACATATATCTGCACGTATCAATGGCGGATAATCAGATATTTTATTTGTCATTCGTAATCCCGAGGTAATCTCGCCTTCTCTCAACTTTGCCCCCTCCCCCCAGTTTTCCCGTCCTCTCCCCATAGTGCCTACGCAAGCTGCGTTATTTCAGGACAGCAATATGGAACAGCCAAGCAATTATTTTCCATCCAAGGATGAATATTTTCTTTTATCATGTAGAAAATTTTATGGCAGTCAAGTTTTGTACGTCAATAAATGGGTCGGTCGAAGGAATGTAAGAGCCAGGACTCGAATTTGGTTGGATAGAATTGCCTGTGGTGGACGGGAATATAATCTTGGATACTGCCTGCGGAAAAGAAATCGTTGGGGTCAAGTACGATGCAGCCGGCAACGTTTAGCCGGTGTTATGTGTGACCCTGGATTAGAGAATCTGATAAAAACACCTCCACTTGACAACGCAACCAAACATATCGACGTAAGTGACTCAAATGCGCGTAAAGCACTTTCACAGAGAAATAAAACTTTCGATGTTTCCTCGAATATTTTCATCGTTCTCAGCAATCGATCATACACTAATCGATTAATCATATAGTAAATATATCAAGGTACATCCAAAATCCAAATGTCTGCTCTTTTGAACGCTTAATTCAGGTGAGAAATTTTGACAGGGCACAAATTGAGTGGCTTTCTAATTCATCAAACTTAATTCTAAGCGGTTTTCAGTTTTCAAGGAAAGTTTGCAAGCCGTGGGTTGATCTGTGTCATTGTTTATGGATAAATCGATTAATATTAAAAATGACAAATTGGCAGAAATTATAAAATTTACCAGTCGGGAACCGCTTTAAGCCTGTTTTCCACTAGGCGGAATTTTGCGCGCGGAGCGGAATTTTTCTTTGTCTTGTGATTTCTTGGGTGGAACTAATTAGAAAAGACAAAGAAAAATTCCGCTCCGCGCGCAAATTTCCGCCTAGTGGAAAACAGGCTTTACAGATACTCCAATCTAACTTGGTATTTTTCCTTGGCAAGAGACCGCAAGCTTATAGTCAGTTGAAGTCACATACTCTTTCGTCTGCGAACCACCCAGACGTCATTTCCGACGCTCATTCTTCGCTGAGGCACTGAGCGTCGGAAGTGAGGTCTGGGTTCGCGGACTACATACTCTTACGTGTAGCCCACAAATTTTTTTCACAGATAAAGAAGTTTAAACTTGTTTTGTGGCCACAGAAAAACAAAACCAACGGCATAATTACGGAAGGCGTTCTCGCAGTAAAATACGAAGGCGGCAAGGCAGGAGTCGTATGCAGTGACAACTGGGATCTGAAGGAAATGCGTGTTGCTTGCGGAGAACTTGGTTTTACTCATGCTGTAGAGACAACTACTCATACAAGTATTGATCAAGTGCGGAAGATATACTCGTAAGTATTCAAGTTATGTTTAATACCCAATCTCTTATTTCACATCAGAGACGGATAATCTGTGAAGAGGTAAGATACATGAACTGCGCACGCAAACTTCGTCAGATGAACTTATGCAGACAGCAATTTTGTTGCACGCATTACTCCACCTTAAACTATATAGTCACTAGTAGTGAGAATCTGTTATATTAAAGAGTGTTTAGTATATGACCCAGTGTCTCAACATGGTTTTAAAATTCCCGTTTCAATATATTTTTCTCACCCCGTGTCTCGGACTTATTAGTGAGCTTAAGCAATCTGGAGAGAAGAAAATTGAAACTACTTTTGAGAAGAGTAGCGACTGACTTTTCGTGATGTACCTGTATTAGATGATAGATTAAGCATTGTTTTTACACTATTGAAATCCTGAATTCCGCCATTTCCCCCCTTTCCTCCCAATCCCGTTATCAAAATACACGCTATCTTGCGTTTTGCAAAACAATGATGACTAAACTGAATAATCATGAAAAATAAATTGATCATGATACGTTTTCTTGAATCTCAGGCCAGGTGTAGATTTCCATCTCGGGAATGTGGAATGCACTGGAAACGAGGCGACGATTCTATCGTGCAAAAGTTCTGGATTGGGTAATCAAAACTGTACGAGTGGTCAAGCAGTATGGTTGAAATGTGAGACAAAGATTCCACCGGTGGGTTACGGTTTTAGTAGAGAGGAAATCTGAGTAAAATATATAGCCTCCTCTTTGTGTTCAACCTGGGTTGCTTGAGTTTAGCCCGCAACCAAATTCTGCCCCCCCCCTTCCCAATATAAAGGTGATGCCTGTGGAAGAAGCTAAGTAAAATATTAATGCTAGAAGAGTACTTTCTGTTTAACCCTACTGAACACTTACGCTACAATGGGAGACTAAACAAACATAGATTCTTAACACGAGTGCCATTGGCGCGATAGTTCTAGGGGGATCCAGTCCAGTGGCATGCTCCTTCGGAGAAACTGTTTTGAATCTTTAGGGTCTTCAGAATAGCATTTCTCGCATTCTAGACGAGTTTTGAAAAAATCATAACCAGGAAGAAAGCAGTTTATCGATATGTCGATATTGTACACCCCACTTTTCTGCCCGGATTTCAACTTTTACAAAGAACAGTTCTGAAGATCATAGGGGATAGAAGCCCCCCCCCCCCCTTGGATATGCCAGTGGGAACACTGGACTAACAAAGGGTGGGTTTATTGAAAGAACTGATAAAGTATGGAAATCCAGTACAAGTGACGTTAGTAATTAGATATAATAAGATTACTGTCAAAACGTGAGGTGCTTAACGATTGTCTATTTTGTTGTACAACAGTTTAGACACGCAAGACTTCATGGTGGTATACAATACTGGCAAGGTCGTGTAGAGGTTCGCAAGATGACTGACTGGGCCACTCTCTGTGATAAAGATCTGGATATCTATACTGCTAACGTCATCTGTCGGTCGCTAGGATACGGAACAGCCAAAGAATATGCCTTGGGAACTGTATACGCTCACGCTATGGAGGATATAGTATGATGTTACCTTGGAAATCTTGCTATTTAGTTTATATCTAATATCCTATATATCGCCATCTCGTCATCATCAGGTCTCTTTATCTCAGCTTTTCATCTATCTCGATCGTTTCATCATCGACCAAATTACAGAACCATATAACGTTGAAAAGTGCCCTTTTGCTTCACGATTTAGTGATCGGAATGTTCTTTTGTCTTTTCATCTATTAAATCACGCTGTTCTCCATGTCATCCAGTCATTTACTGTTTTCATTTATATTCGCATTTGTGCAAAGGGTAAATTATTTCATTTCCTTTACAGAAAATGTACGAGACAATAAAATGCACTGGAAAAGAAACATATTTACAGAACTGCATTTGGACAGAAAGAAGTAAGAGAAAATATCCCTGCAAACATTATTCTGACGCGGGCGTAAAATGTAACGTCCCAAAAAGAAGACAACAAAACAAAATGAAGGTTCGTATTGAGCGAACTGTGTTCAACTAATCTGTGTCCTCCTTTTACCACAGGAATGTCTTCCTATATAATTGTTCTTGTTTTCACTCTCGTAGTACAGGAGAATTCCATCTGTTTAGAAGTTGTTTATTCAAATAATGCTTTTAGAGTAGGAGAAAAATAGGATCCTAGTTCTAGGCGTTACGAAATATTATTTCTTCTGGGGGATGTATATATTATATAAATTTCTTCATCCACTAAAAATTGATAAGAATGAAGGGAAAATCTTTATAAGAAATATTCTGTATATTTTGAATTCGTATTGAACGAACTGCATAGCACGTAAGGGAATTGAACGTGAAAATAATTTTCAATATTTGTATTTTTGTAACATATTGTCACACGTCCCTGGTCTTGGATATAGGATGTAAGCTTAAGGTATTCATCTCAACCCTGTTCCCAAGCCAAGGAACGTAGAGCAGAGAGCATGGGAATGATGTTGTATTCACGTAACTGAGTCGAAAGGAACAATGGCTGCCAGAAAACGACACATGTCTAAGCACAGAGCACAACTAGGAAAGGTTAGCTAGCTTTTGGTGAAGGAAGAAAACCTGAGTATACCCGAAGAAATGTTTGAAGTACAGCAGAGAACCCATCACAACCCAACTTACATGCCTTTTCAAACACAAGACAGGGTACTCACCCACTCCCCCATCAAGTAAAAATACCCAACCCTACTCTTAATCTGCAGTTGCAGACTTAACTTAGCGGTAAAGGGCACTCCTGTTCCCCATCGAGTGTGCTCGTGCCACTCGCTACATCCGAGGGAAAAGAATCTGTATCATCATCATCAGTGTATATGGTAATCAAACACTGCTAGAAAAATTAAACACGACTATTTTTTTCAAAGATTCGTTTGCGTGGTACGCCACACTACGCCATGGGCAGAGTAGACGTGAACATTAATGGTAAATGGGGTGTCATCTGTGGTGATCGTTGGACAATGAAGAACTCAATGGTTGTTTGTAGGCAGCTAGGCTTTGGTTACCCTGCGGCTAACTGGAGTACATCCCATTACGGCAGAACTGGCAAGATACTTCTGAGTGGGATCACGTGTCTTGGTCACGAAACTTCATTGGACGAATGTTTGCGACACGATAATCTCAATTGCTCTCAAACAAAGCGCTTGGCAGCAGTCAAGTGTCAGAAAGGTTAGGGGTCGGGGTATAATAAGGGTCAATATAATAAGGGTCACATCAAGTATATACCCAGATTTGACTACCGCTACTATAAAGGGATCAGTAACCCGCAATATATCCAGGTAGCTAGTGGTACTAGAAGTCAAATCTGAACCCAGTTTTCTATTAAAGAGTTGGTTTCCACCATGGCTGGTAGGAGTTTTCCGATTGTAGCCGCATAGTTCCGTTGATTTTTACGACATATCAAGAAAACTCATTTCAGTCTATTGCATTACATTTATGTTATTTATTTATTTATTTATTTATTGCCTTTGCTTTCCAGTTTAAGACGGAGTCCGCAACAGCGCTAGCCAATTATTGCGGTCCCATTAGATTAGCATATAGACGATAAGTACTATAACATACATAACAACATCTCTGTACAAACTCAATTGTAAATTATATTAACCAAGCAACTTCTCCCTTTCTTCTTAAGGCGCACCAGATTTGGTATGGGATATCAAAGAGCTGGCTTCAACTATGGATATTAGCACTTTCCCGATTGCATCCTTAAAATGTGCACACCAAGAGAACTGTCTAGCGTCGAGTGCGGATGCAGTATTTAATGGCGTTCGACTAGCACGAGGATGGCTTGGACATAAAAGGCGACTCTTGAGGTTCTCAGCTAAAGTACACAACCTTGGAACAGCAGCGTATAGACCTTATTTATCAAGGAATGCTTGGCAGTGGCACAGCTGTCATCAACATTACCATTCGGATGAAGAGTTCGCGTTATATGACTTGATAGGTAAATATTCAGAATAAACAACAGGGGCGGATCTAGCCTCATCTGCAAGGAGGGGTGCAGATTTTCCATTGGGCCCATTCTCCTCTGCAGTCTCGCCGTTCTGCTAATATGAATTTGAAAATATGGCTGTATAACAACCTCGACATGTTTACATATTTAACCATGATACCTGGACTCCTCTGGGGAGGGAGCTGCTAGACACCACTAAGTGAGGAGCGAACCCCCGCCATATTTGTGTAATGTCTTCCCCCGTCAAAGAATCTAGACAATCAAAATGTGAAAAGTGACTTTTCAAAGTTGTAACTGTAAAGGTACTTTTACACACAACGATTAAGCTTTAAGTAAATGATATTTGAATACGCTGTCAACGTCATCTGACGACATCGTCAACTTGACAACATTCGTCGTTAACATTCGGCAAAACCTGAAATGGCCGGGTCATGCGTCTGGTATAAAATGCGCCATTATTTCTTTCTAGACCCGCACACGCACAAGAAAGTCTCGGAAGGTCACAAGGCCAGCTACTGCTTGACGGACACGAAGTGTGACGAAGGGGTAGATCGGTTCTATTCCTGCTTAGGTGGGGGTGATCAAGGGATATCAATAAATTGCCACGACAACTACGACTACACGCTGGATTGTCAGTGGGTTGACGTCACTGATCTGACTGTGGTCGGTCGTTCATACAAATTACGTCTTGTCGCGAATCCTGCATTGAAGGTTGGAGAGACAGATTACTCAAACAACGTTGTCCTGTGCGATGTCATTGACCGCCAAAATCACATACAGGTCGGGGCGTGCATCCAAGGTAAGAATGAATGTTTGGGTGGATAAAAAGTAAACCATTTAACTGTTTAATTTGGGATTTTTCTCTTATTGTATAAAACAAATAGATAAGATTTCGCCGTTGTCTGTTCAGTTATAGATACACAGTATGACGTCATAATGGGGGGAAGAACATAAAAGTCACCCACTCGCCTCGTGTGCCACTTTTTTATTCTTCCCACAAGATGACGTCATCCTGTGTATCTATAACTGAACAGACAAACTTATCTATTTGTTAAATAGAAGCCTAAATATTCTCGCTTGTCGCTCTCAGCAGTTTAATCTTAGCACTTTAGCCTAAAAGGAGAGACTATTGGCAGCTTGTGAACAGATTTGTAACAACTTGTCCGTTTTTACGTGTGTACTCTATTTCGTTTGTTTTGTGAGTTTTATTGGAACTAATGACTTTGGCACAAATAATATACTTGGCTATGTAAGTTATAAATATATTGTTAACTGATCTGAAAGATTTCAGTATTCTTAGTTTATAAAATTCACATATGTATGGAAAATTACTGGGGGCCTCCTCCCTGCTCCGCGGTCCCTGAAATTACGCCTGTTGTGCTCTAAATGAAGCCTGTTCTAAATCGCCATATTTGATAATCGAGTTTTGGGCAGAAATACACGGCAAAAAACGCTCAGGTTGATGCAATACTGATGAAAACAGGATTGAACAATGTTTTGCTGCCCACATTGTTCATAGCTGTCAACAACATTGAACAATGTTGTTACACCCGATTCATGCTCAACAGCATTGTTCAATATTGTTGACAAGTGTGAACAACGTGGGCAGCAAAACATTGTTCAGTCCTGTTGAGCAACGGTCTCGGCGTTTTTTGCCGTGTATATTGTGTTCAGCGGTTCTACCCATCAAACATGCTACATATACTTCATTTAAGATCTTTTGTATTAACCGTCAATCTGGGCTTGTACAAGGATGCTACCATACGATTGCAATGGAAAACGGGCTTAATAAATGTCCAATTATTTGTCTTTTAGAAACATGCGAAAGTGGCGTACGCTCGCACCATGGCAATGGTAACTTCGCTTGTTGTCGTTTCCCATTCATTTACGACGGCAAGTCACGTGACACGTGCGTGCTGGATGACAAGACTGGACAGTTTTGGTGTGCGACAACGAAGAACTATGATCAAGATAAATTGTTTGGATATTGCTAACTCTATATAGTAAAATTCTTTAAAGTACCTATCCTGTCCAAAATGGATTTTTTAAACATTCTTTCTTTAGTCAAATGGTAAAATAATTGTTCATCACTGACATCAGTTCAGCGATTTCGTTTAAGATTGCATCGAATTTTAAGATTGTATTATGTTAATGCTAATGTGACAAAAGGCATCGTTAAATGTACAAAGCATTAATATCACGACAAAAGAGTAGCTTTTAACAGCTCACGAGCAAAATACATCAATATAAATTTCTATTATTTTTTTCTACGTAATCCGTATCTTCTTCAGTGCAATGTTATATTGACAAAGTTGCATTTGGAACCAAAAATGACCCCTATATATATATAATTGTTCTTAGATACGAAACATCCATATATTTCTATTGTTCTCTGTATGTCGCCTACTTAGAGGGCATTGTTATCAGGACCAAGTCACACTTGTAACCCTAAAATGACCACAATGACCTTTCACGAACAGCATGGTGAAAACGTATTGTTCTCAGCTAAAGGTAGTAATATTTGGATTTCGGAAATATATCCATGGATGACCATAGATGCATGTCTATTTCCTTTAGGAGTATTTTATCTCGCCTTCTTATGGTGCGATTATATACTGACTAACGAAGTCACAATCTAGGCTAGGTCTTCTATTTGATCGCATTATGCTGCAAATACAACAAGTCTGCGTTGGAACAGCTAAAGCCCAAACCCATATCTAGGCTAACCAAGTCACACTTGCATTCCAAAAATGATCCAATTTTTTGCATTTCACGAACAACTCGGCGAGCATGTGCTGTTCTCGGGATCGACCCGGTATAAACACGGAAACGCTCGGCGCACGGCCGTACGTATCTCGTTGTTAAACAAGATTAGAAGTACGAGATTTAGAGCGGAGTTTGTATACATCCAGCATAGGAAAATCGTGAAGGACATTGGCTCTATTTTTCCAGAAGCAAACTTGTGCATGGTCAGGATGACAAAGAAGGGGAACCAACACAGGATAAAAATGCCTCCGATCAGAGCTAAGACAATCGCCGCGTGTACTTCTCGTCGTCTGCGTAGAATGTGTCGTCCTTTTATTGCGTCTTCTTCCGTGATTGAGATACGTCGTATTTGATAACTGGTCACACCAAATATACGTATGTAGGACGTCAGCATGATAGCTGAGGGGAAGACGATGACGAATAGCCATAGGAAGATGATATAAATTAACTCGGAGGTGTAATATGCATCTGAGACTGCCCCACTTCGACATATGATTCCAGCCGGGCGCCATGTCACTGGAGGGAAGGATAGAAGGACACTCTCCAACCATACCCCACCTAATATGAATTTCGCCACGGAGGGGGTCACCTTGCTTGCATATGTGAAAGGCATCGCGATCATTAGATACCGTGCGACGGCGACCGATGTCAGACTCAGGACCGACGCTGCGCCGAAAAGGACTCCGAAAGGTGTCGTAAAGTAGCAAATCGCGTTGCTAGGATACCAATCACGATCAAAGAGTCCGGCAACTGATGTCGTCATTTTTAGCGAAGCATTTAGAAGATCAGAAATGCACAAATTGAGTATGAAACAATTGGTTACGTTGTCCAGTAAATGTTTTTTTATGATTCCGACGATTATAGCCAAGTTTCCCAAAACTGAGATCAAGATGATCACAATTAAATACGAGGCTTGGATGATGTTGGACTGAGGAATAGAGGTGTCCGCTGCAGAACCTGAGCTGTTGGCAGACATTTAGAGAAATCTGAAAGATAAAAGAGCGCGTATATTAGGCTATCAATTAACTAATAATATTCAAAGTGCATGGGATTGAGATTAAGATTATGACAATTAAATACAACGCTTGAATGATTCTGGATTGAGCAATTTAGGTTGTTCACTTCTATACCTGGACTGCTAGCAGACTTTTAGAGTTATTCTCAATATAAGTAACCCAGAATACAAACTCTACTAAAAACTACAACTTTTACTGTCCTCAAAGAACAAATCGTTTTCTATACACTACATAACTTCACCCATTTACCGATACTTTACCGTTGCCAACACGTTCCAAAATAGATGACCACGCGCTTACAAACAAAAACTATTGGCGTATTGCTCTGACAAATACTAGCCCCTCTTTGCTACAAACCGGCGTTTTACCATACAATATATATGTCTATATCAATCTAGTCAGTCAATGCTACTTTACCGTTGCAAATATATAGCTGCCGCAGCTAGCGATCCTGAAGCGAACGAGCAAGGCAGCAGATCCTAATTTTGTTTTGTGGGTCGAAATCAAAATTTTCTATTTGGCGCATTGCATGACGGTACCAGTGAATTTTGACCGTGGTGCAGCGCGGTTAGGCACAAGGCAAATAGGCAATGTGATCATCTTTCATCTTTGGTCTTCTTTTATGGAAAGCCATAGCTGGCTTAATTAAAGTGATCAAACGGCATTTTGTTGGGTGCTTTTGGGTACATTGGTCCGATCAAAAAAATATATTGTCACATTATACATTTTTTTGCTGTGACAAAATCCGATTGCAAATTCACTCAATTTGCATTTAGCAATACAATTTACGAGGCATTCTAGCATTTTACTTAACGTTGCACCGGAACGGCTATACATACTTGTCTTGTGACTATATATATATATATTTAAATGAAAGAACTCTTTAAGTTGTAGTGTAACTTCGGTGGTTGATAGCGCCACTTGTGGAATTCATTACAACCGCACAACAAAAGCTTGTCTTATGGAAATGCAATATCAAAGATGTCTAATATACGAATTACGGTCCCATAATTAAAACTTGCAATATATATCTAATAATCTGGTGAAAAGCAGTTAAAAGGTGACGATTGTAATTCGAAAAAATACATAAAAAACATCGCTCTATTTCGGACTTTGCTTTTATGAATTTACACACATCAAAAAATGATTGATGGGCAGAAGTCAACGACCCGCCTACGTAGAGAGATATGCAATGTCATCTAAGAAAACGCGGATACGGAAACGCGGGCTACAGCATTAAGGGATGCATGGACGGGAAACACGGACGGTTCTATTATACTTTGGTTTCTATAGACGCGAAGAAAATTCTTAGATCTACCAAAGATGAGGTAACACAAAAGCATCAGCCAAGAATGTTTTCATTAATCAAGAACGAAAGTTTGAGATGATCAGAAACCGCCATAATCCCCGCACGTAAGACCATGGATAATAGGGAGTTTTAAAACTGAAATACATAATTATTCTTTCGACGCAAGAAAGAAAATATGAAACGAAAACGTTCAACGAAAATTTTTCGAACTTTCTTGGCAAAATTTTCGTTGAACGTTTTCGTTTCATATTTTCTTTCTTGTGTCGAAAGAATAATTATGTATTTCAGTTTTAAAACGGCAAGTTCATTTACTCTTTGTTGCCTGATACCGTAAATTGTTTCTTTGCCTGGCGTTTGCCGTATAACGCGAAGCTTAAACTCTCTAATAAAATAAATGGATAGGAAACTAGCTGACGTGACCTAATGTTTTCAATGGGCTGATGGCGTGATTGGATGTCCAAACCTAGTTGCAAACCAAATTCTCAAAAACGGCATGTTTAGCAATAATACATCTAAACATTTTAGTCAAAGAGCAAATAAATATAACTACGCCATTCTACGATGAAATCTCTAAGTATTCCCAGTCAATTTTAGCAAATATTTCAAGCACTAAACAGTGAAAAATGCATCGCAAATTTCGTTAAAATTGGCGACGCCAATTTCGTAGCTACAAATGTAAAAAAATACAAAACAAAGACGAAAAACATTTACCTTGAATACTTTGTCGTGGCTTAGGCATGTTCTTAAAACAATCAGTCCAGTTTATGCTTCAATATTACTGTTTTAAAGCGGACAATATAGCGAAACAACAAAAATGCTGAGAACCGTTGGCAATAGGCGTGCGTCACAGATTGCAACTAGGTTTAGACTGTGACGTCAGGAAGTTTCCTATCCAGTTATTTTACAATCCATGGTCAGACGAGCGAGTTTTCCTTGCCAATTTTCTCTGGAAAAGTTTCGTGTGTGAAAATTTATCTCACGTCAAACGTAAACTTGTCACGTTTTCCATGGCGACCATACAAATGAAAAAATTTTCCTTGTCCAAAAGCTGGCGTGACTAGCTTTGGCACAAGGCTGCTTGCAAGGCCAAGGTGGCAGAGTGATTACCTTAGTTCAAATTAATTACGGCAGAAAAAAGAATGACAACCATTTTTTGAATCGCCGCATATTCTCTAACGATAGTGGCGAAGTTAAGTTCCTTTAAATGCCGTTTGCAGAGTACAGAGATTTCAACCATAAACGATCCGACTAGTCGGCGAATCAAAGCAGCATTCATTCTGAGCATACCTGTATACATCTTTTATCTCTCTGTCTTTACAGCAGGGAGCAATCTTTGCGAGGGAAACATCAAGTCTGTTCAAAAACTCTCCTCACAATATCACCAAATTCTTCAGGAGAAACAATATCCCAAAAATCCTCCAAGAAAGTTTCGTCCATCGAGCGCTCATCAGAGGGTTCAAGACAACCCAGACTGGCACTTCGGTTTTTACATTCAGAAAAAGTCTTTGAATTGGGAAGTTCTTGGTCACAAGTTTTTTCCGATTTTTTGGTTTTGTTCAATGAAGATTTAGTAAGGTTATCTAGTTCAGAATGATCATCAAGACAAAAGCTATTATGATTGAAGAGGTGATGCATTATTTGTCTTGGTTCTTTCTTAATATGTTCCATAATCATCTTTCGACGTTGGTTCAAGGACGATGCTTCTTGCTTCAGTGTGTCACTCGGGTTGTTTTTAGCTGGAATCATAATGATTATTACAAAATATTGGACAGGTTTTTTTGTGAGGGTTCTATTACTTTTTCAATCATTTTGGAGAAATTTGGGAATTTTAGAGAAAGATAAAAATTTTACAATTTTGTCCGAATGTTTGTTTTAGACCCCGTTTACACGGTACCGGACGAATTTGGAACTGGGCTGAAATTCGTCCGTTTCCGCCGTGTAAACACACGAGAATCACGGAACCGGACGAATTTGAGACCCCCTAACAGGACGAATTCGCGTGTAAACAGGCAAAAAACGACGAATTTCAGGCCGGTCTCAAATTCGTCCGGTACCGTGTAAACGGGGTCTTAGTGGTACATCGACCAGACTTTTCCAAACTCGTTAAATTGCGTGCCTGCTTTATTATTTCACCCTGTCTAACGCCAGACGATTTTATTCATTAACAGTCGTAAACTCTACGCAACAGGTCTAGTATTACGCCATTACCTTTCAATTCTTGCAACTTTGCAGAGATGAGTTTTCTTACAACCTGATCAGCCTGATGAGAAATACTCTTCATAGTAACTGCTCTGTCTTTGGACTGTATATGTAAGCAAATATTAAAAAAACTATGAGTGAACTTATTTAAAACAACACCAGAATATAGAACTGCAGCTAGACAAACCCTACCTTCTGCATGTCATCAGACATTTTCAAAGGAGGTGCAGGAACCAAAGCAGCATTCTCAAGTAATTTAACAATAGTTATCCTACACAACATAAACTCAAAATCTTAGTGGCAAACACTTCACAAAATTTCGATAGGGGGGGGGGGGGAATTAGGTTGCCAACACAGGGCTTTCAGAATTATTCAGAGTAGGTGTCTGTTTTGATAAAGTAGGCGGCTGTAGGGAGGGGGCGGTCTAGGGAGTCTTAGACTTTGTTCACACTAGTTAGGTCGATCTCAGCCCGATCCATGGCAAAGTGATCTCAATGTGAATGCAAGAATGCGAACTGAGATCGATCTAAACGAGTTCATTTCAGGAGGAGGTCTGAGATCGATCCAACCTAATCCGCGTGCAATGTGAACGGAAAGGCGAACTCAAAGTGAACTGAAACTCTGGTACCAATCCCTATTGTCTTGCGCGTTCAGATCTACCGTCATATTTATGCAAAATGTCTGCCAGCAGCGGAGATATTTGGACGGAAGACGAAACAACTTTGATAACACCACCGTTAGGCCATTTATCTATCTATATCATTCAAAGACTTCCAAAAATTATCGAGTACTTTACCATTTATTATCACTTTGGGAACTGCTGGTATTAATTGTAACACTAAACTTCTCCCAACTAAACTTCTCAGGATCTGGTTTCTCAATATGATTAAACATTTTAATGATGGTATCCTCATTGACTGATGCTGGTCGTTGTGCATTTCGAGGTAAAGCCAGTTCAAGTGGGCAGTGCAAGTAAATCTGAGCAAAACTAAACGAAACTGAAAGAAAATGGTGAAAAATTAGTACACTACTTCTGTTTGATCAGGAAATAGGTTCTTATAATTTAGTTCTTATAACTCACTTTTTCTTGCCAGTTGATAATATTCATATCTCATACTTCTGTAAAACATATTATCATCTATGACCACGACATGCAATAGATCATTGCACCTATATAAAATATATTATGTTTTGGTTCATGGACACCCAGATCTTCATCTGTACAAATTACTGTAATATTATTAGTAAGAATTAAAGTTATGAAGATCTGGGCTCATGGACCTAATGTTTTACAAGAGTTTATGATCGACCCTGCCAAACATGCAAAGAGGCTGTGAGTTAAAGCTGCTGTGAGTGTAATTGTGTAAACAACTTTTGAACCAAAATGGAAGAAAGTTCTTCACAAACCGTGGTACTATTCACTGCTGATTAAGAAAAATATCATAAAAATAGGTACATATAGCGTACATCAAAAGAACAAAACGAGCTTCGGTTATAGATTCACTTATAACTGTATTCCTTAATCAAAGTTATATCCTCATGAGCTTGTATTAACACAACACCCTACTTTAGATACACTAATTATGTTATATTATCAGGTTGCCACGGGGGGTGGGGGCCAGTGTGGAAAGTTTGAAATTTCGCAGCGGATATCTCCGGCGCACAATTTTGATGCTTTCTATATAATTACTATTAAATTTTTGAAATCTCTGGCACGCAATTTCCAAACTTTCCAGTCAGGGGTGGGGGGAGGCACTTGAACTTTCTTACCTATTAATGAAATTATTGATGCCACATGAACACCAGCTACTGACAAATGTATTTTTACGTGATGCCTGATTATTAATTTCTAATCCAACACTCTCCTTATGCAATAACAAATGTTCTAAACTGTTTAATATATCCCTACGCCTGTCCTTCCACCTTGCAGAGTGTGTTGGATCATTTTCAGGCAGGTTTTCAGGTATAAAGTCATCATAGTTTATGTATACAAAATGTACACATTTTTCAGCTATTTTCCATTCTTTTTGGATCAAATCTTTGGCTAAGGTAGATTTTCCTGATGCAGGAATTCCGCATAAAATAAGAAAGCAACCATCCGCCATCTTCGTTTTTGAAATGCTTCCACTTGACTGAATATGAATTATATGATAAACTATCTATGTGATAAACCGATTTATAAAATATAAATTTTAAAAAGTATTTTAACACAAAATACACTACTGTACATTTGTACACAAACATTAAGAAAGACTAAACTTGTTTAACTTAAAAGCAAATTTAGCAGGTAAGAACTATCAAGAGTTTATTATCTATATTAATTTTTGAAACGTCTTCCACTTTTCAGAACAAAATGGGTTTTTAACCGAGTGGAAGTTGGCACGCTAAACTTCCATCCGTCGTAAGTTACTAAATATTGTCGTTGCATGATGATGAAAATATAGAGGGTAAGGAATATTAAGCACAGTATATCTCACAACAGAAATTATTATTTGGTCTAGGAAAAATAAAAAAATAATCTTTGTAGAAACAAATTTCAAAGTTACAAAACGTGGATTGACAAAATTATAATTCTCACTCGGTAAAACGCCGACATTTTCCGAAATTCAATTTCAACTTTTGAGTGATCTATTTTACCTCGAGCTCAAAAACAAAATGGTGGTAGCGAAGGCAGAAGCCGTGATTCCTATCGTTGTTGTGTCGTTGTTTTGGCTCGGTGTTGGAGCTGTAGCACCATGGTTTATCTCAGGACCAAATAGAAGGTTTATTCAAGTTCTGTTTTGCACTGTAAAATTTATTTCTCTGTCGGGACTTTTTTTGTATATGAAGTGTACACTGTCACTGACTCACTGTATTTATATATGAATTATTAAATTATTGTGTTTCTAGTACGATGCGGACGATGATTGCATTAACAGCCGTTTGTTGTTGGTTATTGTATCCTTTTATATGCCAGGAATTCAGGAAACATATAAATATTTATACCAAACTATGATTTGAATTTTAGTGTTTGGCTTTCAGGCAGGGGGGGGGGGGGCATAGGATTGATGGAAGACAAATGTTTCCAGTAGTTGTTATCTGTTATCAGATTGGCATTTCCAAGCATTTTTCAAATATCCTTAACCCATTGACTTGCATAGCACCTATTTTACTCTGTCTAATGCCAGATGATTTTATTCGTCAAGGGAAGAGTGCTGGTGCTCAATGGTTTTAACTGCATCAGAAACCAGCCCAATAAATTGCAGTGTGTCAACATACTTTGAACACATGAAACTATTCAAGTTTTAGTACATACGCATGAAAATGTAACCCCAATGTTATGAGCATCCTTCTTCCCCAGTGTGCAAAGTTTGAATCGTGCAACCATTACCAAGACACTGGCCATGCATTTTTAATCCTTTATGTATATTTACTATTAAATTTTCGACATCACCGGTTATATTCCTTAATCAAAGTGCAGCTGGCTTATCGGCTACATGTGTCAACTTAATCCAATAATAGGACCAACTTTGAAAGAGGAAGAATACAACGCCATTCAACTTGAATGGAAATAAGCAAATGGAGTAATGAAGGTAAGCTCCATTTTAATGCCCAGGCTTGTGTCTTGTCTTGTAGTCAGCTACAGGGATGAATCCCATACTACTAGCTCAGTCTGTGATGTGTTGATATAATGAAGCACGGTTACCTTACCATCGTTACCTACCTTGGTTATTACATAACCTCATTAAGTTGCAATTGCACCCTACCTTATGATTTTATTCTGTCTAATGCCAGATTATTTTACTTTGTCTAATGCCAGACGATTCTCCTTATCAGAGGAAGAGTGCTGTCGGATTAATATAATTCACTGTCTTTTCTAGATTGTGCTAAAACCAATATAAATAATGGCAAACATTTTTGGACATTTCAAATGAAGAAGAAATACTTGCTGTTATGTATTTATGTTTTATAGGCAATTAATTGTTACTGGGTTGGTAAAACTATTTAAGGGGAAACAACATTAATAATAATTATAGTAAGAATTTGGTATAAGTATTAGATTGTAGTTCAGAAAATCCTTAGCTTCAATTTTCTATATGTACTACACTGTATGTATTTCCTGGTGGTATTACATGCTAATAAATTCAACTATTTCTAATAAAAGATAAAAAAATTATTGCATTTTGTTACACATAATTACAGTTATACAGTTGATGTTTTTGTCACTGCTAAACTCCTTGAGTAATAGTGAAATCATCCATTGATGTTCGACCTTCGAGTTTTAAGTTCTGAAAAACAAACAGAAAAACTTCATTATAAAAGTTGCAAACAGCTAACCCCTGGTCAAACAAGGCACTGACAGTTGATGAGAGTTGCAATTCTTACTTGCATTTGACCAACACTCAACTCTTTTAGCTGGTAAATTTTTCAGTTTTGTTTCTGGTGTTGCACACTCAGGTGAAGATATATGTTTGTGATGTTGCTCTGAGTGTGTCCATACCGGGCAAGCTGAAAAGTTTGCTTGACCGCAGTGGGAATCGAACCTGTGATCTTTGGTTTGCCAGTCCAATCAGGGTTCGTACGGGTCCTGGAAAGTCATGGAATTTCAATATTCCAAAATCCAGGTCTGGAAAATCAATTTTAGTCATGGAAAGTCATGAAAAATTGAAATTTTACATAACATTAACAAAGTATTTTACTTATTTCAATTTACCAGTCATAACAATAATATGAATTGTTGTTATATAACAGATTTTTTGAAGAGCGAAGTTAAGTTTGTTTTTTTATTATATTTGTTATCGTTAAAATATTAACAAATTCAGAAATTCCAGACTTCCAGGTCATGGATTTTGAAAAAAATGGTCATGGGAAGTCATGGAATTCTAAATGGGAGAAAGTGTACGAACCCTGTCCAATGCTCTACCAACTGAGCTACAAGGTCAAATCGGTTCAAGTGGATGATATTTCAAACTGACTTGACCTCGTACTTAGCCCGCGTGCAGGCCCAAGGGAACTGATATCAAGTTCCCTTGAGCCTGCTCCCTTGGGCCTGCACGCGGGCTACCTCGTACTGGAAAATTAAAGGTGTGGGTTCGATTCCCACCGCAGTCAAACAAACGTTTCTGCTTGCCCGTTGTGGACACACTGAGAACAACATCACAAACATAATTTTTTCAGTTTTCGCTATGTGGGGAATATCTTGTCAACTCTCATCAATCTAATGCAACTGTTGTTCTGGTTTAACCAAGGCACGACTCATGATGAGAGTTTAGAAAATTGTCATGCAAATTCTGGCTTCTCAATTCTCATAACTTCCCCTTTAGTAAGGGTTACTACAGTAGGTAGACTGCATCTGCATGAACATTTCATGTGCTTGAACAGGAGTAGGCTCCTGGCCATATCTGCATAACTACAGTATGCCACAATAAGGCCTTGACCGAGCCGTGAACATTTTAATTTACAGTACCTTTTCGTTTGCCAAATGAAGCAAGCAAACAAAAGCGATTGGAATGGAGAGATTCTTTGCCATTTGTTTAGACATTTTGCTCGGGATTGTGTGATACAATTCAGTAAAGTTACATGGCTTCGTAACGCTCTCTTTGACAATATCTTCGGTTGCATTATTTTCTGGCATATTTTCCTTGAAAGAACGATATGAATTACGGACACTCAGAAAGAGTCATTGATTGGGAGTAGTTTAACGCAAGCGAACTATAACTTTAGCTCTCCCAAAACCGAGAAGGGAATTCCTAAAAAAAGTTTTAAATACAGCGGGGCAAAGCTTTGGAATAGCCTTTCTCGGGAAGCAAAAGAGACACGATCAATCCATAGTTTCAAAGAAAATATTAATCTTTGATTCTGTTACTAATATTAATGTATGGGTCACACCTCCTGTATTCAGCATGCACTCTTGTAAATAGTTTTTCTTTTTTTTCTACGTATTTTCTTGTAAATAGTTTGTATATAAATTGACGTCGCCCCTCATGAAAACCAACGTATGTTGATGAAGCTAGCGTCTTGAAATAAATTTTTACGATACGACGACGACGATCATTTCATGATACTATAGTTTGTGTATGTGGTACAATCATCGTTGTAACTCTCTAATACAGAGAGATTGCTGTGCCTTTTCACATTTCCAATTAGAGAAGTTAGAAGAGATGCAGCTACATGATATATAGATCTTACTTTATCTGCATCACGTGGTGTCGAGGACATGACATCCCACATCGCCCTCTTTACTTTTTTCACATCGATTTTCTTCGCTGTTTTTGAATACGCGATGTCGATCTTCTGCACCTGTATGTGACATTTATAAAGTGGCTATAGCTATGTGTATATCGATATTCATTCGGGGTCCCTGAATACATTTTAAATCAACAAGCAAACTGTATGACATTTCAATATATATAAAATGACAAAAATTTCCTGCTGGATGTAAGAAAATTACCTTGGAAGATATTTTATTACTGTAAACATTTTCTGGCATCGGTGCTGCCAGACATTTTCCAACACTGGCCACAAGGTTCAATAAACTACTAGCCTGGGTTATACCATGCACGATTTAGGGTGGCTTTATTATGGCACTCAGTTGTAACACTGTTACAAGTGTTACACAGTGTTAAACAATGTTACATATTCTTACATAGTGTTACACAGTGTTACACATTGTTACATAGTGCTACACAGTGCTACAGAGTGTTGACAGTGTTACATAGTGTTACATAATGTTACACACACTAACCCTACCCCTAACCCCACCCCTAACCTCACCGTGTTACATAGTGTTACACACACTAACCCTACCCCCACCGTGTTATATAGTGTTACACACACTAACTCTAACCCTACCCCTAAATAAAGATAGTGTAACACTTGTAACACTGTTACCCGAGTATATACTTGATAATATACCCTAAATCATGCATCATATGGCCTGGGTGTGTGGTTAAAAATTTGAGAAGGAAACGGAATGCTCCATTGCTCCCCGTGCCAAAAGCCCAAAACCTACCTTCAGTGCAAACACCACCTACTGTATTTCATCCACCTCACCTTATTTGGTTGTGCAACAAGGTTGTCACCCTGGAACACAGTTTCGTTGTTAAATGAACTAAGAGTCTGTGATGAATATTCATTAAATCCTCCCGCATCTTCACCATCAAATACGTCGTCATCACCATCGTCCTAAGAAGAAGGTTTCGATCAGGGAACGGTTGTATAAAAAAGTAGTAAAAGTTAGCATGCGCTTAATCTACCGGATTAACCAATCAGATGCGTCCTGGGCCAGAGAGCGGTGGCCGTAATCAATTATAGACCGCTCTAGTTTGGAAAGAGTCAAAAACCAGCTTACCCTTTCACAAATCATCACATAGTAGAAACTAAATAACTATATACCTGTGCATCAGCTGGACAGTAATTGGCGCAATCATTTTCGTTTTCATAATTGTACCAATTGTTTCCTATAATTGATGATAGAGAAGGTTTAGATCACGAACTACGTAACGTATCCAGGTACTGTACATATGTATCAGTGTATTCATGAATTATTACTGTACGACCCACCCAATTTTACCCTTCATCACATTACTACAAAGTTTCTTTCCAAACATTGCATTAAAACTTTAAAAGGGCACTTGACACAGAGATGAATGGCTATCACATTTTCAATTTTATAGAAAAACTTTCTCACGCAGTGTAGACCCTAAGCATTTTTTTCATATTTTCATATTTTTTCAAAATTTTGTCATATTATCACTTAACCTTTTCCAAAGGCACAAAATCCGGCCGTGGGGAGAACAGAAGTTGAGACCTGATAGAGTCATATTCAATATAAAAAACCTATGGTTAAACTGAAACCTACCATTT